AGGCGGCTAGGCGCTCTTCGTCGAGGTCTATGCCGAGGCCGGGGGCGTCGGGTATCTGGATGTAGCCGTCTTTGACTTCGAAGGGTTCTTGGCGATGTCGCGGCCGAGTTCTTCGAGGTTGACGAAGTATTCGGTTATGAGGAAGTTGGGGATTGCAGCGGATACCTGTATGGTTGCCGCCAGCCCAACCGTCGTGCTGTTGAAGTTGTGGGCGGCGATATGACTACGAAGTACGGCTCCGCCATCGCCGCATCTCCTTGAGTTCGAGGATGCCGCCGACGTTGCAGACATCCGGGTTGAGGATGTCCGCCGCCTGCCTCTCGAAGACCTCGCGGAACTCGAACTTGGTGTAAAGCTCCTCGCCGGTAACGACGGGGATGTTTATCTTCTGGCGCACTGAGGCGAGCGCGGGGATGTTCTCGGCGAGAATGGGCTCTTCGAACCAGAAGGGACGGTACTGCTCAGATTTCGTGGGCGATGCGGACGGCGTGCATGGGAGCGAGTCCTGCGGTGCATCTCCACTAGGATGTCCACGTCGGGGCCTACTGCTTCGCGGACGGCGCGCACGTTCTCCACGGCGGCGCGCTCCACGTCCTTGCTGACATAGGTGCGCCAGCGTCCGGGGATGGGATCGAACTTAAGCGCGGTGAAGCCCGCCTCGATGACCTCGGATGCGCGCTCTGCCAGTGAGTCGGGCGTGGGGTTGCCGCCGCTCCAGCCGTTGGCATAGACGCGAATTTTGTCGCGGCATGCGCCGCCGATGAGCTTATGCACGGGCGCGCCGTATGCCTTGCCGGCGATGTCCCACATGGCATGCTCCAGGCCGCTGATGGCGCAGTAGTAGTCCATCGAGCCGCGCCTGCCGGCGAAGTCGTCGAATGCCATCTGCGTGAAGTGCTTGATGTTCGTGGGGTCGCGCCCGATGAGGTAGCGCTTGAGCTGGTCAACATGCGCGGTAATCTGCACATCGCGGTCGGACTGCGTGTAGCACTCGCCCCAGCCGTAGATTCCCTCGTCGGTCTCGATCTTCACGAAGCAAAGGTTCTTGGCTTTGCCGGGGTGTACCAGGAAAGTCTTTGATGTCAGTGATTTGCATTGGCTGCTTATCCTATCTTTTTCATCCTGTGTATCGATGTTGCTGCTTACTCTCTACTGCGCCATCCATCCGCCGTCAACTACGACTCTCGCTGCCGGTTACATAGCCAGACTCGTCGCTGGCCAGAGTAGAGGACGGCGTTGGCGATTTCGATTGGCTCGGCGAATCTGCCGAGGGGAATTCGAGAGCGCATTAGAGCGAAGGCTTCAGGGTCTTCGCGCGCGGCGCTCTGTCATGGCGGTATTGACAGGACCGGGATGCACGGAGTTGGCTCGGATGCCGTCGGGGGCGAACTGGATGGCTGTGGACTTGGTGAGGATGCGGACGGCGCCCTTGGAGGCGTGGTACATCGGGCTGGTGTTGTCTGTGGCGACGATGCCGAGCTGGGAGGAGATGTTGATGATGGAGCCGCCGCCTGCCGCTTGCATCTCGGGGATGGCCGCCTTCGTGCCGAGGAAGACGCCCTTGGCGTTGATGTCCATGACAAGTTCCCAGTCTTCGACCGGAGTGTCTTCGACCAAGCCGCCGACGCCTCCGATGCCGGCGTTGTTGACGAGGATGTGCAGCGCGCCGAATCGTGATACAGTCGCGGCGATGGCGTCCTGCCAGTTGGCTTCGCTGGTGACGTCCAGGCGCAGGAATAGGCAGTCGTCGCCGCTCTCGTTTATCTCAGCTTCGACTCTGCGCCCGTCTTCTTCGAGGACATCGCCGATTGCGACCTTCGCGCCCTCACGCGCGAACAATCTCGCTTCCTCCGCGCCCATGCCGCGCGCGCCGCCGCTAATGAATGCCACTTTGCCGTCGAGTCTGCCCATTTTGTTGCCTCCTTTTGGTGGGTTTAGAGGGATCAGGAATTAAGTTTGAAGGACTTAGGTTTGTCGGTGCGTGGGTAGTGTATCATGGGCGCAACGCACAGCATCCTGAGTGCCGGTAGAGGTGTGAGATGGCTACTAAGACGAACCTGATGACAGCAGAAGAACTGCTGGAAATGCCGGATGACGGCTATCGCTATGAGTTGGTCAGAGGGGAGTTGAGAAAGATGGCGCCTGCGGGCCATTCTCATGGCAGAGAGGGCAATAAAGTTAACGTGAGTATGTCCAGTCATGTTTATGAGAATGACTTGGGCGAGACATATCTTGCTGAGACGGGCTTCATATTGGCGAGGTCTCCTGACCATGTGCTTGCGCCCGATGTGGCTTTTGTGCGTAAAGAGCGAGCTGAAGTGGCAAGGGATGTTCCGGGATTCTTCCCGGGAGTGGCAGATTTGGCTGTTGAAGTTATGTCTCCTAGAGACCGACACACAGATGTCGCCGAAAAGGTGTCCGAATGGCTTGAAGCTGGCGCGGGTATGGTCATCGTGGTGAACCCTCGAAATCGGACGGTGCAGGTGCACACATCCGATGGTGTGATCGAACTTACTGAAGCAGATACGCTGGACGGCGGCGATGTGGTGCCGGGGTGGGCGATGCCTGTGGTTGATATTTTCTCTTAGAAACTGGCGGGGATTGACTAGACATAATGCGGTTTGTAGCATGCGCTCGAAGTATATGCGCAATCAGTCTCGGAGGTAATGCAATGGGCAGACAGGATATCGAGCTAATGGCGCATTTGATGCGTCGTGCGGGGTTTGGAGCGACTCAGAATGAGATTGAGGCGTGCGTCCAAAGGGGATATGAGGCGACGGTCGAGCGACTGCTGAATCCGGGCGACGCTCAGTGGGTCGGCGACTTCATGGTGAGGCGATTCGACCATGAGGCTTCGGGGATGATAAATCATCCCGGCGCAGCGCGGAACTGGATATACCCGCATGGTCACCTCTGAAGCGCCCTTGCAGGAGAAGATGACGCTCTTCTGGCACGGGATTTTCGCCACGGGCATGCCAAAGGTCATCAATGGCAGGGTGCTTTCGGACCAGGTGAGCATGTTCAGGCGCTGCGGGATGGGCAAGTTCGACGACCTGCTTATGGAGCTTGCGAAGAACCCTGCGATGATAGTCTGGCTGGACAATCAGGACAATCACAAAGATGCTATCAATGAGAACTGGGGGCGCGAGCTACTCGAACTGTTCTCCATGGGCGTGGGCAACTACTCCGAGGACGACATCAAGGAGTGCGCGCGGGCGTTCACAGGGTGGACTATCGGCAACACCGAGTACATGATGGTGCGCTCGGCGCGGGACTCGGACTGGCCCTACGGCAGGATAGACTATCACTTCGAGTATCGCGCGGAAGATCATGATGATGGTGAGAAGAACTTCCTCGGGCAGACGGGGAACTTCGACGGCGGGGACATCATAGACATCATCTGCCAGCAGGAGGCGACGGCGCGCTTTATAGCGCGGCACCTGTATCACTTCTTCGTGGCGGACGAGCCGCCGGTGCCCGCCTGGCCGTACACGCCTCCGAGGGACAACGAGGCGATCGACGCACTGGCGCAGGTATATTTCGACAGCGGCTACGACATCACGGAGATGCTGCGGGCGCTGTTCAACTCGGACTTCTTCAAGTCTGAGGACGCGCGCTACGAGAAGGTCAAGGGACCTGCGGAGTTCGCGGTAGGCATCCTGCGCATGACAAAGGAGTTCGACACGCCGAACCGCCAAATGATCAATAGGTTCAGGCAGATAAACTGGATGGGGCAGGAGCTTAACAATCCGCCGAGCGTGGAAGGGTGGCATCAGGGCGTGGAGTGGATTGACACGGGCACGCTGATGGAGCGTATCAACTTCGCGTCTGAGCAGCTGGGCGATATAAGCAAGCCGGGCGTCATGGCGATGGTGGACAGCATCGTTGCGGACGGCGGGAACGGCGCTCGCTCGGAGATGATGGTGAGCCGATGCCTTGAGCAGATGGGCGCGCTGTCGGTGGCGGATGAGACGCGCGAGGCTCTGCTTCGCATTGCGGAGCAGGACGGCGATGAGCGACAGAAGGTGGCGCAGATGCTACGGCTGACGGCGGCGTCCAAAGAGTTTCAGCGATTGTAGAGTACACGGGAGCTGACATGAATAGACAGGATGTACAGGGTAGTGTGCTCGAATACTCCTTGACGCTGGGATTCATTGCGATGGAGGGGCGCGGGCTAGAGTATCCGACCGACATGGTAGCCGCGAGCAACGGACGGTTGTATGTTGCGAACCGCGCGCGCGACTTGGGCGAGCGGGGTGTGCGCGTCACGATGATGGACATAGACAGCGAATACTACGGCACTTTCGGGCTTCATGGGCAGGGCGACGGCAATCTAATCTCGCCTATGTGCATAACGGTAGATCGGCGTGGGCGCCTCTATGTTACGGACGACTACACTCACAAAGTCAGTGTGTTCGACTACGATGGTAACTTTGTTCGTGGCTGGGGTTCGCGTGGAGACGGCGCAGGGCAGTTCAACGGGCCGTCGGGAATCGCCGCGGATGTTGAGTACAACATATACATCGTGGATACGCACAATGACCGGGTGCAGAAGTTCACGGCTGAAGGCGAGTTCATTCTTGCATTCGGTTCGAGCGGGAGCGGCGAGGGCGAGTTCAACATGCCCTGGGGCGTAACGGTCGCGCCCGGTGGCGACTTATACATAGCGGACTGGGGGAACGACCGTATACAACGGTTTTCGTCTGATGGCGAATTTGTCGCGGCATACGGCAGTTCGGGCAAAGATGACGGCGAGTTGCTTAGGCCGTCGGGCGTGGCAGTAGATGAGCGCGGGTACATGTATGTGTCCGACTGGGGAAACGAGCGGTTGCAGATATTCGATGTTGATGGCGCATTCGTGCAGAAGTTAAGAGGAGAGGCGGGGCTGTCGAAGTGGGCGGCGAACTTCCTGTCGATTAACCGGGAAGAGGGGGCTGCGAGGGAAAAGGCGAACCTGGAGCCGGAGTTGGACTTGCCCGACTCGGACGATCCGCACACGCAGTCGGCGCACATAGAAAAGTTTTTCTGGGCGCCCATGTCGGTGAAGCTGGATGATGAGGGCAGGGTCTATGTTACCGACGGGAACCGGCACAGGATACAGGTGTATCGGCGGGTGATGTGAGGTTTTGACATGGCTACTACGACACAACTGATGACAGCCGAAGAGCTGCTTGACATTCCAGACGATGGGTTTCGGTATGAGTTGGTGAGGGGGGAACTGGTAAGGATGGCGCCTACCAAGAATTATCATGGCGAGATCGCTGCATATGTCACCGGAAGCCTTGTTCCCCATGTCAGAAGGAATAGTCTCGGCAAAGTTTACACTGCGGAAGCGGGGTTTACTCTCGCATCCAATCCTGCTCACGTGCGCGTGCCGGACATAGGCTTCGTCCGACTCCAGAATATAGAGCGAATAGGGCGTCCCGACAGCTTGTGGCCGGAGCCGCCAGACCTTGCCATAGAAGTAATCTCACCCAGCGACCGCTACTCTGATGTGGAAGAGAAAGTCTTCGACTATCTTGAAGCCGGAACGCAGATGGTAATTGTGCTGGAATCGCGCACGCGCACGGCGAAGGTGTATCGCTCGCGGACGGATGTTACCGTGCTCACGGAAGCGGGTATGCTGGACGGCGCCGATGTGGTTCCGGGGTGGAGCATGCCTGTGTCGGAGATATTCGACTAGCCTTCTATGCTACTCTGAGAGTATGGAAGTCTTTGAGTGCCCATTCTTGGGCGGAACGGTCGAGTTGACCGACGAGAGAGTGCTTCACATCGGGCACAGACACACCGATATACTTTCAGATGTTCAGAGTTTCATCGGCAGTACACTTGAACACCCTGACGAAGTTCGGCTGAGCGTTAAAGACTCGGATGTACGGCTGTTTGTACGTTGGTTTCCGCAATTGCGGAATGGTAAGTATGTGATAGCTGTTGTGCGCACTACTGAAATTCCCGAGCTACGGCACTGGATAGTGACAGGATACATCGCCAGACGGCGAACAGGAGGGATAATCGAATGGCAAAGAGCCTGACTTTCGAGTACGACAAAGTAGGCGACATTCTCAGCGTTGCCATAGACGGCGTGCGTCCTTATCCTGAACAGGAATCCGACTATCTTGGCGAGGACGATGTAGTCGTGAGCTTCAACCCCGATACGGGGGAAGTGGAACGCTTGGAGATTCTCTTCTTTAATGCCAGAATGCAGAAAGAAGGTCGGCTTGATCTAGACCTCACCCCTGACGCAGAAATTGCTTCAGCCAAAAGTCCAGGGGCAGAAGCCAGAGTCTCCGCAGATTAGCTCTGTCCAGATATAAACGCCCGCGCGCCGTCGAGGAAGCAGCGGTCGGCGCGCATTGAGGTCATCACATCGTCCGCCATCTGCCTGCCTGCGGCGTGAACTGCGTCCCGCACCGTCGCTTCGAACTGTTGCACGTCCGGATGGTTCGGCTGTCCCTGCAATCCCATCGACTGCGCGATGTCCTGCGCGCCGGACGCGAACAGGTCTATGCCCTCGACCGACAGAATGTCGTCGATGTTGTCCAGCACCTCGATGTCTTCAAGCTGCGCTATGACGAGGATGTTGTCGTTGGTGTGCGCCATGTAATCGGGGCCGGAGGGGAAGTCGCTGAAGTATGCGCCGCGCCCCGAGCCGAAGCTGCGATGACCACGCGGCACATAGCGGCAGGCGTCGGCGAGTTGTTGCGCCCTGTCGCCATTGACGATGTGGGGGCCTGTGATGCCCATGATTCCCCTGTCGAGGAAGCGCAGGATGGTGGGGTGCTCGATGTCCGGCACGCGCGCCATCGGCGTCATTCCGGCCATGTCCGCGAAACGGCAGAGGTCGTCGAGCAGGTCTATGGTGAAGGGACCGTGCTCGCTGTCGAAGGAGACGAAGTCGAAGCCCGCTCGCCCGGCAAGCTCGACGAGCGTTGGCGATGAGAACGAGAAGCCGCAGCCGTAAGCCATTTCTCCTGCCTTCATCTTTGTTACCACGTTGTTGACTCTCATCTTTTTTCTCCCTGCGCTCGGCGTATTTTCCGTGTGTCATTCTGATTGCGTGCCAGTGTAACACGGCTGGGTTGGGCTGGCACGAATTGGTTCGCAAGACGGAATAAGGTGGCTCTGAAAAAGGTTGACCCAGACACCAAGCATTGCTATGTTGAATAGCATAAGTCAAGAACTCTTGTACTGCTACTTGGGCAGTGAATGCAGGGCATGCAACGAAAAGGGGATAAGACAGATATATGGAATATGCAGTTCAGACGCGGGGGATAGGGTCGGAACTTTGGCGATGTGAAGGCGGTTGATGCCATAGACCTGAACATATCCAAGGGCGAGATATACGGCTTTCTGGGGCCGAACGGAGCGGGTAAGACGACCCTGGTGCGGATACTCATCACGCTGCTGATGCCGACGGCGGGCAGCGCCACGGTAGCGGGCTTTGATGTGGTCAGCGAGGCTAACGAGGTCAGGCTGCGTATCGGCGCGGCACTGCAGGAAGCGGCGCTCGACCTGAAGCAGACAGGACGCGAGCTGTTGCGCTTGCAGGGCAGGCTGTACGGGCTGAACCGGCGGGAACTGGACACTCGCCTGGACGACCTGGCGGGACTGGTGGATATCGGGGACGCACTCGACCGATTTGTTGGCACTTACTCAGGTGGCATGAAGCGGAGGCTGGACCTCGCTGCGTCGCTCATCCACAACCCGGAGGTGCTGTTTCCTGGACGAGCCTACTACGGGGCTTGACCCCATCAGCCGCGCGCGGGTGTGGGAAGAGGTGCAGCGCATCAACAAGGAGCTGTCGGTGACAATATTCCTGACGACGCAGTACCTTGAAGAGGCGGATGCGCTTGCCGACCGCGTGGGCATCATCAACCAGGGGATGCTAATGGCGGAGGGTACGCCGGACGACCTGAAGCGCTCTCTGGGCAACGATGTGATCATAGCGCAGGTGGACGGGCAGGCGGATGCTGCGAAGGCGGCGGTCGTCGGCCTGGAGGGCGTGGTGGATGTGGACTCGTCGGGCGGCGAGGTCATCATTCAGGTTGTGAACGGCGCGGCGCATATCAGCGATGTCGCACTGGCGCTGAACGCACGGGAGGTGCAGGTCCGGGAGCTGACGCTGCGGACGCCCACGCTGGACGATGTGTTCCTGAGTGTTGTGGGCGCGCGTATGGAGCAGGAGGCGGAGTGAGTTTGTCAGCGTCGCACTGAAGTCGGTATCGGGTCAGGACTTCACATCAGACTGACTCATCGGTCTATATACATTCCAATAACCAACCTGATGAGTAACCGTTAAGGAGATGTAACGAATTGAGCCAAGCAGTAGTTACCGGACCTACAACCCCGCAGATACGCGCAAGGCGAGCGGGTTTCTTTCATGATGTGCTGTCGGTCGCAATCAGGGCGCTGCGCGGGATACCGCGCGACCCGGAGGCGATATACCCGGCGCTCATCATCCCGGTGTTCTTCTACGCCATCAACATCGGCGCGTTGCAGGATGTCGCTGAGCGCATTCCCAGGTCTCGACTACAAGGCGTTTCAACTGCCTGTGGGCATCATATTTGCCGTAACGGGAGTTTCGCGCGCCGTGACGATGGTGACCGATATACAGACGGGCTACTTTGACCGCCTATCTCTGACGCCGGTGAATCGCCTTTCGCTGCTGCTTGGCTTTACGGTTGCTGACTTCGTGCTGGTAGTGGTGCTGACGATACCCGTCGTGGTGCTGGGCTTCATCGTGGGCGTCAGGTTCGAGTCGGGCATCATCGGGCTGCTGTTGTTCGTACTTATGTCGGGGCTGTGGGGGCTGGCGTACACGGGCTTTCCTTATGCCATTGCGTTCAAGACGGGCAATCCAGCAGCGGTCAATTCGAGCTTTCTGCTGTTCTTCCCGTTCGTGTTCCTGACGACGGTGTTCGTGCCGCGCGAGGCGATGACAGGCTGGATGGCGACAATCACGATATACAATCCCGTAACATATTTGCTGGATGCGCTGCGCTCACTAATCAGCGTGGGCTGGGACTTTGAGGCGCTCATCAAGGGCGTCGCCGCAATCGCACTGGTGGGGGCGGTGAGCGGCGCTCTTGCGCTGACTGCGCTGCGGGGCAGGACGCGGCGGAAGTAACGCCCGAGTGGTTGGACAGGATGATAGGTATGTGTAGAATATGGGGAAGTCCCCCTGTGTATCACGCTAGGCAGTTGCGGTGAGGTTTGATATGGCGACAACAACGAAGCTCATGACGGCTGAAGAGTTGCTGGAGATGCCGGACGACGGCTTTCGCTATGAGTTGGTGAGGGGAGAGCTTGTAAAGATGCACGTCAGTCATGCAGGAATGCGTATGACCCATGCGTCGAGCGAAATATGTTTTCCACATGCCGATGCAAGAATGAGCGACTGGGCGAGGTGCATATGCCCGCCGAAACAGGTTTTCAAATTGAAACCGACCCAGATCATGTGCGCGCGCCCGATGTGCGCCTTTGTGGACGGCGCAGAACGTGTAGAAGCGGTTGGCCCTGATACTCACGGCTTCTTCCCCGGCGCTCCTGACCTTGCTGTCGAGGTGATTTCGCCCAGCGATCGCTACACTGAAGTCGATGAAAAGGTCGCCGAGTGGCTTGCGGGCGCACGCATGGTTGTTGTGGTGAACCCGCGTAATCGTACCGTCAGAGTTCATCGCCCGACGACGGACTCCGTCCTACTGACAGAGAAAGACACGCTGGACGGTGGGGATGTAGTGCCGGGCTGGGAGATGCCCGTAGCCGACATATTCGCTTAGAGACTGACCGCCTAACAATCGCCCATCGTGAACTTTGGGAGGGACCGCCATGAAAGTATTGCTTGTAGCCACTAATCAGGCAGACCGATTTATGGGTCGCATGGTGGTGCGTCCCGTGCCGATAGGACTAGCGTATCTCGCTGCCAGTGTGGACGAGGAGCGGCACACGCTCAAGGTGCTCGATCTGATGTTTGCGGATGATGCGGTGGCGGAGGTTGCCGATGCCGTAAGCGAGTTCGAGCCGGACCTGATCGGCATGTCCATACGCAATCTGGATAATCAGAGCAGCCTCAATCCGGTGTGGAATCTGCCTGCGGTGCGCGACATCATCGAGCGCATACGGCAACTGAGCGATGCCACAACGCTAATAGGTGGGCCGGCGTTCAGCATCATGCCCGCTGAGTGCCTCGACTATGTGGGCGCTGACCTGGGCATTGCGGGCGATGCTGCGGAGGCGTTCGCCACGCTGGTCGAGCGGCTGGAAGCGGGCGCAGACTATCGCGACATCCCGGGCATTGTGTATCGCGATGATACAAACGATGGGGAGATTGTCGTGAGCGAGGGCCGGTTCACGTCGAGCTTCCACAGAGCGCCGCGCCTCGACCTGCTGGATATGGGCGCTTACAATGGCTCGGGGTTTGGCGTGGGCGTGGTTACGAAGCTGGCGCAGGCGTACTATCCCACACCGGGGGCGGACTTCAGTGGCGGGGACTGGCGCATTCGCGAGCCGAGCGAAGTGGTGGACGAGATTCGTGCACTGGACAACGACTTCGGCATCAACAAGGTGTTCTTCATCGACAGCGGCTTCAACATACCCGCGGAACATGCCAAGGCGACATGCCGCGCCATCATTGACGCGGGTCTGCGTGTTCGCTGGAATAGCTACGTGCGGCCATCAGACGATGCGGACGCCGAACTTATGGGACTTATGAAGGAGTCGGGCTGCTCGCTTGCGCTGATGGCTGAGGGCGGTCGCGGTGGCGAAGGGCTTGACGACAGGCTGGCAGGACTTGAGCGCATGTCGGGGTTGTGCCGAGAGGTGGACTTGCCCTTCACGATGAACATGACCTTCGGAGAGCCGGGCGATTCAGAGTCATCAGTCGAGCAAAAGCTGGACTTCCTGAAGCGCGTGGATGCCGCGTTCTCCGTGCTGCGTGTGGGGACGCGCGTGCTGCCCAACACAGGTGCGGCGCAGACGGCGTTGCGCGAAGGGCTTATAGAGTCGGAGTCGGAGCTGATGCGCCCGACTTTCTACACCGATGCTAGCGTTCGGGACTGGATTGCGGACAGGCTGCGCGAAGAGGCTGCCGAGTATCCGCGCTGGAATCTGATGTAGCGGGGGCAAATTTGCCCTACGCGAAAGATGTCGGCGACGGGCAGCCGCCAGCCGGGAACGACATCACCGCCGTCGAGTGTGTCGGATTCCGTGAGCGTTATGACGGAAACGGGCGTGTGGACTCGCACCGTGCGGTCGCGGGGTTCACCACGACAACCATGCGTGTGCCCGCATTCAGCCATTCTTGCACCTTTTCGGCAACGTCCGAGTACCGGTCATTTGGCGAAATGACCTCTGCCACAAAATCCGGGGTGCCGGGGAAATAGCCTCGCTCTTCCGTAGCGGTTTCCACACGCTCCTGACGCACGAACGATGCATCCGGCGCGAGCACATAGTCGGGATCCCTTTCCAGCAGAAAGCCTGTATTTGAGCTGTACGCCCTGCCAAGGCCGTTAGCCTTTACAAACGCTCGCAACTCCGAGCTGACATTCAGTTCGTAATATCCGCCGGTGTGTCCCACAGGGGCCATCTTCCTCAGCACTCCTCTCACCAACTCATAGCGATAGCCATCCTTGGGCATATTCAGCAGTTCTTCGGCTGTCATTAATTGCGTTTTTGTTGTCGCCATATCACACCTCGCAGGAGAGCTAGTCAGTGTGTTCGTGCCCCATTATACCAGTTGGAAAACCTCTGTTCATCGCCTCAGACGTGCTTGATTAATCGCCCCCTTCTATGCGTAATCTAGAGTTTGACAGGGCATATCTCACAAGATATAGTGGTCGTACTATCGCAAAGCACGATATGTTGTATAGTTTCTAATACTTTAGATAGATAAAGTTCAATGCACTGTCCCTACTGCGAATGTGAAAACACAAAGGTCGTGGACTCGCGCGAATCCGGCGCGAGCATACGTCGGCGGCGCGAGTGCGCGTTGTGCGGCAGACGCTTCACGACCTATGAGCAAGTGCAGATGAAGGCGATGATGGTGGTGAAGCGGGACGGTAGGCGTGAGGAGTTCAGCCGTGGCAAGCTCTGGTCGAGCCTGACGAAGGCGTGCGCCAAGCGTCCACTGGCCATTGCCAGAATAGACAGAATGATTGACGACATCGAGACGAACCTGTCCGAGCAGGGCAAGGCGGAATTCGACTCTCGGGCAATCGGCGAGATGGTCATGAGCAGGCTGTCGGACCTGGACCAGGTGGCATATATTCGCTTCGCCAGCGTGTATCTCGACTTCAGCGATGTGGAGAGCTTCAAGACGGAGATCAACACGCTGCTAGAGATGGGCGAGACGCTTAACGGTCATGCCGACACTAACCAGTTGGCGCTGCTGGGCGGCGACATCAATGTCGTCCCGGATCCCTCAACGGAGCCGCCGCAGGAGCATTCTGAGCCGTCTTCCTGAAATTTGGGGGATTTGGGCTTGAAACTGCATGGACTAAATGTTCTTTAATGTGCTATTCTTCAGAGAGGTAGGAACGGACGTGCTAATGCGTGCATCCAAATCTCCTTCAGAGATTTGTGAGGCATTCGCTCATGTCCTTCTGGTGTAGGAATATGAAAGAGAGTCTATTGGCAAGGGTTGACTATTTACTTGAGAAAGAGGCGGCTAGATCGCGGCACTCTTCAATACTTCTTGAGTGATCATGGCATTTCTTATCCCGTTGCATATTTGAACGCACTCGCTGGGCCTAGTGATATTTATTTGATTGCCAAATTTCTTGAGATTCCTGCAAGCGCCTTATTCGAAGTGACTAAACATAAGGGCCACTTCATAATGGCAGTTTTTGAAGAAGAATGGCCAAGTGTTGAAGGTCGGATACAAATTTCCAAATCTGAGGCGTACAGAAGGATTGTGCATGATCGAGAATTAAGGGGAGAAAATAATGAGATACGGCGGCAGATTCGCCTATCATTGCAAGGATTGATTGCGCCTAAACGGCGAATGCTTCACTGTGAATATCCAGACTGCAGCGATGACGATTGCAATCTGCGTTGCAAAATAACGGGCCATTCTCTTGGTCCTGAGGATTAGAGTAGTGAGTTGGAAAGAAATAGTTCGGCAGAGCGTTGATGTTGCCGAAACGAAGGGTAGGGAATATTCACCCTCTTCGAGAGATAAGACCAAGGTGCGCCGTTTTGCCGCGTCCATGGGTGTGGATAGAGTTGAGCTGCGAGAAATGGGAGAAGACGCCCTTCTGGTAAAAAGGCCTGATGGCAATATAACCGTATTTCTAAACAGTAATCAACCTAGAGTACGACATCGTTTTTCTATTGCTCATGAGCTGTCACATCTGCTTTTGGAAAGTATACTTGGAAAGGAAGCAATACACCGAAGACGACGATTTGCGCCTCATCAGGATCCTGAAGGTCAGCGCATTGAGGCCTTGTGCAATATGATGGCCTCTTCACTGCTGATGCCGAGAGAAAGAGTGATTGAGTTGTTGTCAGAAGTTGGGTGGACTGCTAGGTCAGTACAGACGATTGCTAAGAGTTTCGACGTATCGTTTGAAGCAGCGGCTAGACGTTATGTCAAAGTCAACCCGCGTCAATGTGCGATGGTGATTTTGGATAGAAGCAGAGATGGACGTATGAAGCCCACACAGCGTCCGGTGTTAAGTGATGCCTTGGAGGGTAGTTCGATTGAACTGGTTGCTCCTCCATATGGCCAAGAAAACAGCATTAGTCGCGCTTTCTCCGAGAACAGAATGTTCGTTTCTCCTGAGAAAGTAGTCTTGTCGCGTGGCAGAGGACGTAACAGGAAGACCAATATTTTGGTAGCGAATGTCGAATCAGTCAGCAGGGGAATTAGGAACAATCGCAAAGTGTATTCATTCATTTCACTTCCTTAAGGAAAATGAAAGGGCTATGCATTTGCAATCCGTTTAGACTAGGCGAACTTCATACTTACGAAGACGGGACGGTTGCAAAAACTGAAGACTAATCTGAATCGAAAATTGGAGATGGGGTTGTGTTAAAGGAACGTAATGCAGACGGTTCTGAGGGTGGATCATCGTCTCAGTCGGCGCGCGAAGCTGATGTGAGGCAGACGCTCGTGGCGCACGGAGTCGCCGACGAGCACATCAACGAGGTGCTGGCGCAACTGAATGTCTTAGTTGCCGAGCCGCCCAATGGCTCGGCAGTCGCCAACGGCTCGACGAACGGCAACGACACATCGTCTGCTGGCGCAATGCTGTCGGAGAACGCGCGTATCATACTGGCGCAGCGCTACCTGATGAAGGACGACGACGGCGAGCCTGTCGAAGACCCGGATGGGCTGTTTCACCGCGTCTCGAACGCTGTGGCGCAGGGCGAAAAGCCGGAAGTCCGGCAGATATGGGCGGGTCGCTATTACGATCTGATGACATCGCTCAAGTTCCTGCCGAATTCGCCGACGCTGGTCAACGCGGGCACGGGCGGCAGGGGCTGCCTTTCCGCCTGCTTCGTGGTGTCGCCGGAAGACAACATGACCTCCATCATGCAGGTAGCGACCGACGCAGCAATGATAGAGAAGTGGGGCGGCGGCATTGGCTTCGGCTTCTCGCGTCTGCGTCCGAAGAGCGACCGCATCGCCACCACTCACGGCGAGGCGTGTGGGCCGATCGCGGTAATGAAGCTGTACTCGTCCGTGGGCGCGACCCTGACGCAGGGCGCGTTCCGTCTCGGCGCGCACATGGGGCAGCTCAACATCAGCCACCCCGACATACAAGAGTTCATCCACTGCAAGGACAACGACGATACGCTTGCCAACTTCAACATCTCCGTGCAGATTACCGACGACTTCATGCGCGCCGTGGACAACGACGAGGAGTGGACATTCTACAACCCGCGCGACACGGCGGCGGCCCCGTCAACGAGTCGGCGGGCTCGGTTCGGGCGCGCGACCTCTGGCGCGAAATCTGCGAATCGGCGTGGAAGACGGGCGATCCGGGCGTGGTATTCATGGACCGCGTGTGGGACACACAGCCGAACCCGCAGTTGGGCAACATACAGACGAGCAATCCATGCGTAACGGGCGATACTCTGGTCTATTCGGGGGATGGTCTTGTGCCAATCAGCGAACTGGTCGGGAAGACGCCCGCGCTGTCCTTGGATAGCAGGGCGGGCGCGGAAGGTTCATTCGCCATCAAGGTGTGGCAGAGCGGCGTAAAGCCTGTGTATCGTCTGGTTACGCGGGAAGGCTACACGCTGAAGCTGACTGCCGACCATGAGATATTCACCACGCGCGGCAAGGTTGCTACTTCTGAACTGAAGCGCGGAGACCGCATACGCCTGCTGGATCACAAGGGCTATTTCGGCAGTCTAGGCGATAGAAATCTGGGCTTGACGCTTGGATGGCTCACGGGCGACGGGCATATCGATGTCAAGCGCGCCGTGCTGAGTTTCTACGGAGAGGACCACAAGGTCGGCCCGATACTCGCAGAGGCTACACAGTCGGTGGTAGCGGGCACGGGGCAGCGTCCGACCAGAGTTTATCCCACAGGCATGCACATTACGAAAGAAGGACGCGGCATCGTGCAGTCAACGCGCTTGCGGGATGTGGTCAGAGACTTCGGCCTCACCGAAAACGACTGGCATTATGTGCCCGATGTGGTTTATCAAGGGACGGAGGATATGCAGCGCGGCTACCTGCAAGCCCTATTTGGCGCTGACGGCACAGTGGCGGGCAAAGACTCGAAGAAAGGCGTAAGCGTTCGCCTGAACTCCTCGTATCCCGCGCTGCTTGAAGGTGTGCAGCGGCTTTTGCTTAACTTCGGCATCGCCTCCCGCATACATCTGAGGCGCGGAGAACGAATGACGTTGATGCCTGATGGCAAGGGAGGGTCTAAGGAATACAAGACTCTGCCGAACTACGAAGTCATCATCGGCAAGGATAATGTTCTGCGCTTCCGAGATGAGATTGGTTTCCTGAGTGAAGCCAAGAACGCCACACTTGCGGGACAGGACAGCGTCTTACAGCAAGCGGGGCTTCTACAAGGATCGCTTCCTTGCGACCTTCGACCGTCTTGAGCATTGGGTGAAGAACCCGTTTATGACTTGACCGAACCGATGACGCACTCTTTCGTAGCCAACGGACTGGTCATTTCCAACTGCGGCGAAGAGTTCTGGAGAACTACGGCAACTGCTGTCTAGGCTCTATTAACCTCGACAAGCATGTGAGCGTTGACGGATTCGACTGGGACAGCCTTGGCTACACGGTGCGGACGGCTGTGCGCTTCCTTGACGATGTAATCGAGGTGAACCAGTTCCCGATGCAGAAGCTGCGGGAAGTGAATCTCGCCACGCGGCGCATCGGGCTAGGCGTGATGGGCTGGGCGGACGCGCTGATACGCATGGGCGTGCCTTACGACTCGAAGCGCGCGCTGGAGCTTACCGAAGAGCTGGGCAAGTTCATATACGACACCGCATGGGACGAGTCGGCGCGGCTCGCCTCTGAGCGCGGGCCGTTCCCGGAGTACGAGACCTCTGCGCTCAAGACGCGCGGCATGCCGCCGGTTCGCAACTCCAGCGTTATCACAATCGCGCCCACCGGCACGATTAGCCGTCTCTCCGACTGCTCATCGGGCATCGAGCCGCACTTCGCCAACGCATGGTGGTCGAACGTACTGTGGAAGGGCATCGACGGCGCGGGTGAGGCAGGCGAGCGGCTGCTGGATGCGCCCAAGTCGGTCTGGGAGGCGCTGCGCGAGCGTCTCGCGGACGAAGAGCAGGTGCGCGCCGTGCTGGAGCAACTCGCCGACGACCCTGACGGCGCGGAACGCATATTCACCGAGAACGGCATAGACCCGGCGCACTTCCGCACCTCCATGCTCATCAGCTCGGAGGCGCATGTGCGGATGCAGGCGGCGTGGCAGAAGTACGTCACCAACTCCGTGTCCAAGACCATCAACCTGCCCAACAGCGCCACGATTAAAGATGTTGAGGATGCCTACTATCTGGCATGGAAAACGGACTGCAAGGCGGTTACCGTATATCGGGACGGCTCGAAGTCTATGCAGGTGCTGGAGACGGGCAAGGACACAGCAGATACCGAGGTGGACAAGGACAAGAACGGTTTCATGGTTCCACGGGAGCGTCCCGCTGCCGTACTCGGCATAACCGAGCGTGTACGCACGGGACACGGTACGATGTATGTAACCGTCAATTTCGATGAGGACAACAAGCCCTTCGAGCTTTTCACGGCGATCGGCAAGGCCGGCGGCAGCGAACCCGCGCACCTAGAAGGACTATCTCGCTTGGTAACACTGTGCCTTCGCTCCGGTGTTGACCCGAACGCGATAATTTTATCATCTGAGCGGCATAACATCCGAGCCGGTCTGGGACAACGGAGTGCTGATACGCTCGGCCGAGGATGGCGTGGCACATGTGCTCAGGCGTCATCTCAAAGGGCTGAATAGCCCCGGCACGGTCAGCATGGAGAGCGATGGCGCGGCGCAGCTGGGATTATTCACCACACCGAAGTTTTCAGAACCCAGTGCAGAGTATGTCTCCGATGCGCCGCTAAGTGGCGGCTGCCCGAAGTGCCAGGGGCGTGTCGTGCATCAGGAAGGCTGTATCCGCTGCCTCGAATGCGGCTATACCAAGTGCGAGTAGATCGCTGACTTGTAAACAGTCTGCAAGACAGAGCAAGAGGGACAGGTGTGAAAGCCTGTCCCTCTCTGTTTCGCATAGTGGATATGTGATTCATACACCGGTCGTCAGTTTCGTAACCTTCGATAGACTTCTCTCCTGTGTCCAATGTCCAGTATCACAATCTCTTGCCTGCTAAGGGTGTACAAAACTCGATAAGGTCCTGAGCGAATACGATAGATAGGCATTCCGTCGTGTGTAACATTCCGAAGCCTTCTCGCTTGACTAGGCTGGGAATCATTCGGAAGTGCGTCTATCGTCTCCTTCAAAGCCCTGCGGCGGCTCAAAGGTTCTACTTTCCTTAGCCCTCTTAGCGCAGCTCTTGTGTACGCTAAGCCGGGTGAACCACCTTGCTCCTGCGTCATGAATGGAAGTTATCCCTCCTACTCTGACAGAATATCGGCAAGCTCTTCCTCTAGCGCCTTTCCTCTGACGAGTAGGTCGGGGTCGCGTTCAATCTCCGCAAGCCTTTTGCTAGCAGTGGCAGTGTCTAATTCGTCTTCAATGGACTGTTGGTGCTCGTTTGGCACATCCACAGAATCTGAGGACTTACTCTGCGTTGCCATAATTTACCCTCCCGGTGCAACATCGCGTCTGAACTCATGCTACTACCATGCCGCTTGACCTGCAATCTATCCACACCAATGCGAGGCCTACCCACATTCACCCCGGCATTGACAGTCGTTTTGACCGTAGTCATTATTCCCAAGGCGTTCTCCTCCGCCTGTCTCATCACCACCAACCAATAGGGTATAATGATTATCGTACAAGTTTAGTCGAACATCTATGAACAGGACGAAATAGATTGTGCCTATCCTGTTCATCCATGTAAGTTTTTTTGAGGTACTGATATGAGCGAACGGCCACTGCTTGCGATTACGATGGGCGATGCGGCAGGCATCGGCGCGGAAGTCACCGCGAAGGCGCTTCAGGACAAGTGGGTGTATGAGAAGACTCGCCCGTTCGTTGTGGGCAGCGCCGCCGCGATGAACGCTGCGCTTGAGCTGATAGGAGCTTCCGGCACAGCGAAGATCGCACACTCGGTTGACGATGTTGTCGGCGAGCATGGAAACATTGATGTGCTCGACCTGGAGAACCTCGACTACGCCACGATCGAATACGGCAAGATGTCTGCGGTTGCGGGCAAGGCGTCCGTGGAGTGGATACTCAGGGCGGGCGAGCTTGCCAGCAGCGGCGCGGTTCAGGCTATCGCCACTGCGCCCATCAATAAAGAGGCGTGCAGTCTCGCGGGCTACACCGACATCGGGCACATGGAGATTTTCCAGAGCCAGACGGGTGCAAAGGAAGTGGCGACAATGCTCACGGCGAACACGCTGCGCGTCGTGCATCTGACGACCCACCGCTCGCTGCGAATCGCATGCGACTATGTAACCAAGGAGAATGTGCTGGCGAAGCTGCGACTCACTGACGAGTGCTTCAAAAGATGGGGCTTTCCGGAGCCTCGCATCGGCGTTGCCGCGCTGAACCCGCACTCCAGCGATGGCGGCCTGCTTGGAGATGAAGAAGCCTTGCAGATAACGCCCGCTGTGGAGGCGGCGCGCGCCGAGGGCATCGACGCCACAGGCCCTGTGCCCGCTGACAGCGTGTTCCCGCAGGCAATCAATGGCAAGTACGATGCGGTGCTGGCAATGTATCACGACCAGGGGCATATTCCCATCAAGGTGCATGACTTCGCCAAGAGCATCAGCGTCAACCTCGGACTGCCGTTCATACGGACATCCGTTGATCACGGCACGGCGTTCGACATCGCGGGCAAAGGCATCGCCGACGCGGAGAGCATGCTGGAATCCATTCGCGTCGCCGTGTCGCTCGCAAGCGATAGCAAGCTGCCGTAAGGCTTGAATTGATACACAGGACGGATAGGATATGAAACTAGCGTTCATCGGCGGCGGTGTGATGGCGGAAGCGATTATTGGCGGCGTGCTTGCGTCGAATCTGACACCGCCGGAGGATGTCAGTGTAGGCGAGCCTGTGAACGAGCGGCGCGAACAACTCACGCAGACGCACGGACTGAATGCATTTGCAGACAACGCGTATGCCATCAGAGGCGCAGACCTCGTCATCCTCGCCGTCAAGCCTCAGTCACTGCCCGAAGTGATGCCCGGCCTGAGTGCAAGTCTGAGTCCGCAACAAACGGTCGCGTCGATCGTGGCGGGGGCTACAATCGAAACGCTTGTCAACGGGCTGGAGCAAGACTCCGTTGTTCGCATTATGCCAAATACGCCTGCACAGATTGGCGCGGGCATGAGCGTGTGGACGGCGACGGCTGCGGTGCCAGGCGCAATGCGCCATGTCGTGGGGCAGATTCTGCAGACCCTCGGCGATGAGGTCTATGTGCCAGACGAAAAGCTGATAGACATGTCAACTGCGCTAAGCGCCAGCGGACCTGCGTATGTGTTCCTGTTCATCGAGGCGCTCATAGACGCCGGTGTCTATTGGGCATGGCGCGCGACATGGCGCGCAGGCTTGCCTTGCAGACTGTTCTGGGCAGCACTCAGCTTGTGCAGGAGACCGGGCGGCATCCGGCCGAACTGAAGGACATGGTAACCTCGCCGGGAGGTACGACGATAGCGGCGCTTCGAGCGATGGAGAGCGGCGGTTTCCGTACCGCCGTTTTGGATGGCGTCATCGCGGCATTCGACAAGTCGGTAGAGCTGGGGAAGAAGTAATGACGCAGTATCTGGGTACATTCATAAACGTTCTGTTCTATGTGCTTTGGGCGGCGATACTAGGGCGCGTTATTCTCTCGTGGCTTAACCTGTCTCCTGAGAATCCTATTGTCGTGCTAATCTATGGGATAACGGAGCCTATCCTGAAGCCGATACGCCGTGTGCTGCCGTCGATGGGTATGATTGACCTGTCGCCGATGGTGGCGCTTATCGTGATGATGATTCTCCAGCGTGTGTTGCAGAGTTTGGTCAAGGGTTCTTGAAGCGCCTGCCGAGTTCGATTTTGCTCGGCTTCAGCCGCCGAACAGGTTGCTAGCCCAAACGGATGCAATCGTTGCGATGCCGATGCCGAGAATCAGGTAGAACAGGCGGTCAACGCGCTCCGACAGGTGATTGACCGCATTTTCGAGGCCATCCATCCTGCCTTCCAGCCGCCCAATTGCGCGCCACACTTCGCCGGCGTCAATCTGCTGACCTTGCTGCGTTTCAGTAGTCATAGCGTCTCACTTACAGTGTTTGTTTTGACTGTCGCAATCTGATTTACGCATTGTATAATGCTAAGTGACTCTTTAGACGATATTCCGTCAATACTGATGCGCTTGTCACGCGACTTGTGACCGCGCACGATTTGCACGCTGCGCTTGGGAACGCCAAGCCGCTTCGCCAGCAGCGCCACACCGCATCGTTTGCCTTGCCTGATTCCGGCGCCGCAGTGACGCGCACCGTATGCGCTCGCCGTCAATCTCCACTGCGTTGCGGCCTGCGCGGGGCTGGACGCGAATGTCGAGTTCCAATTGGACACTATGCGTGCGCCAGAGCGCCGCCGTCTATGAAGATTGTCTGCCCTGTTACGAAGTCGCAGGAGTCCGATGCCAGATAGACGAGCAAGTCCGCACAGGTCGGTCGGATGTCCCTTGCGGCGAGCTGGCAGGTAGCGTACGAGAAGTTCGCGCTGCGACTCTTCGGTCGGCTCTTCGGTCGTAATCCAGCCTGCGCCGATGCCGTTGACGCGGATGCCGCGCCGCGACCATTCCAGCGCGAGCGCCATTGTAATCTGATGAACCGCGCCTGCAGCGGCGCATGCAGCCACGGAGTTCCACAGCCCGCGCACCGCAAGGCCGGAGCCGATGTTCACGATGTGCCCGCTTTCCTGCGCCAGCATCCGCCTGCCGACAGCCTGACTGCACAGGTACATGGACTTCACATTGAAGTCCATCAGCGTCTGCCACTCGGATTCGAGCACATCCTCGAAGGGCTTGCCGAACTCTGCACTCGCGTTGTTGACCAGAATGTCCACCTTGCCGAACTCGTCCACGACGCGCTGTGTCATCGCCTCTACATCGTCGGCATTCATAATATCGGTGGTGATGTTGAGCGCGCGGCGTCCCTGCTCCTCAACGGCTTTGGCGGCGTCCGCCGCGTCCGAGCGCACTGAGCCTGCGATTGCGACATCCGCGCCTGCCTCAGCGAGCGCAGACGCGAGGAAGGGCGTCCAGCCGCGCCGGTCGGCAGTGATGATTGCGGACTTGCCGCTCAGGTTCCATTCTTCAGGTATGGGCATTTCTTTCTCCTTTAGTCGTAAGTTTTCAGTTATCAGTGTTCAGTCCACCTAATCGCGTCAGTTGCCATAGTTACGCACCGCAGTTTGCAGGTACGAACTGACAACTGAGCACTGACAACTGAGCACTACACCTCCAACGGTATCTCGGGTGCGTAGCCTGTGGGTGCGTAGCCGCCTGCTAGCCCGCCGCCGTCGATGGTGAACATCTCGCCGTTCATGTAGTCGGAGGCGTCGGAAGCGAGATACACGGCAAGCGGTCCCATCTCGTGGGGTCTGCCGACACGACCCATCGGGATGAAGCCTCCACGAGGCAGCGTGTCGTTCGACTCGGCCGTGCCCTCGGTCGGATGTAGCCCGGCACGATGCAGGTGCAGGTGATACCGAAGCGGCTCATGCTCGTGGTGATGGTGCGGGTGAGCTGCACGATGCCGCCCTTGCCGCAGGTGTACATATAGTTGTCGCGCCCGCCTCGGAGTCCGAAGCCTGACGACACATTCACAATCTTGCCGCCGCCGCGCTCTATCATATGCTTGGCGATGGCGCGCGAGCAGTAGAATGCGCCGGTGAGGTTCGTGTCTATGCCGATGCGCCACTCCTCGTCACTAATGTCCCATATCGGGATGGAGCCTTGACCGCGCACGATGCCCGCGTTGTTGAAGAGCACATCAACCTTGCCGAACTCTTCGATGGCGCGCTCGAAGAGTTGATTGACCTGCGCCGAGTCGGTGACATCCGTTGACACGGCTATGGCACGCCTGCCGACCTCGCGGACGGCCTCGGCGGTCTCCTCGATTGGCCCCATGCGTCGCGAGGCAATCACCATGTCCGCGCCCGCCTTCGCCATCGCAACCGACATCTCGCGTCCCAAGCCCGTGCCGCCGCCCGTGATAACGATGGTCTTGCCGTCCAGACTGAGTTTTTCAAGCAATTTTTGTCCTCCTTGGATTCGACATTGATAAGCAAAGTGAAGTAGATAGGATGACTTATTCTATCCTATCTACCCCCGTTGCTATACTTGCGATGTGACCTCGCCTGCCGTGGCGGTATGCAAGCTGCCGTCTGACAGGCGCACGAGCAGGTTGCCCTGCTCGTCCACGGACTCTGCGACGCCTTCGATGACCTCGTGCTGCGAGCGCAGGCTTATGGTGCGGCCCAGCGTGTCCAGCATTTCCGACCAGTCGGCGGTCAGAGACATACCTGAACGAACTGCTGTGTAAGCGTCATCGAAGTGTTCCAGCAATGTCTGGAGCACCGGCGTTCGGTTGCGACGCTGCCCGGTTTCACGGTAGAGGCTGGTCGAGATGTCGGCGATCTCGGCGTAGAGTGAGGGATCGAAGTTGACGTTGACGCCGATGCCTATGATGGCGCAGACGGAGTCCTCGCCCTCGATGGCAGTCTCGATGAGGATGCCCGATATCTTCAGCCCGCCCACGCGCACGTCGTTGGGCCACTTGATGGTGGGCTTCAGATCCGCAGTGTCGGCAACCGTGCGCGCAACGGCAAGTGTCGCGGCCATGTTCATGTACGGCAACTGCTTCGCAGTAGGAGTCAGAATGACCGAGAAGGACAGGTTTTCGCCGCGCGGCGACACCCATGCGCGATTGAAGCGCCCCCTGCCTGCCGTCTGCTCCTCGGCGATGACAACCGTGCCTTCCGGCATGCCCTCTGCCGCAAGTCGCCGCGCCTCGTCCATCGTAGAGCCGATCAGGTCGTAGTGATGGATGCGACGGCCGACGATGCGGCGCGAGAGTGCGCTTTCAAGCGCGGGGATGTCGAGGTCAGTGGCTGGCGCTGCGTCTGGCATGCGCAGGATGATACTTGCGGGTTTCGTGGCGTGTCAAGCGGGGTTTGGCGAAGGCTTCAGCGTCTTCCTAGCAGTCGGCGCAGTTCAGCCATCGCCGGATGAGTAGTTGATACCGCGGACGGCATTTTCTCGTAGCGTTCGAGCAATTCCGACTCTGAGAATCGCTGCGGCCAGTCTAGGTTGAGTGTGAAGTTCCCCTGGCCATCAATAAGGATAGCCCGTAGTTCCGATAACCCAAGTACATCTCTAAACGCCGCTCTCTCAGGATATTTGAGGTCTTTATAATGTGGAAACAAAGTCGCATATGTAATCGAACCACCGTCTATTAAAATATCCAAGATTTGAAGCTGTCGTTCTACTAAAACCCGGCGGCGCGGACTACGCAACTGGCCGAAAAGTGACCGAGCGAACTCGCGGAACAAGATGCGACGATGGTTTTCAGAGATTTCATCAGTCAGCGAGTTGCACCTGTCGATAATTGCTCTGAGTGCGAACATCAGAAACGGCGTGATGTCATGCCTGTGCTGCCACGATTGATCCAGAGTCGCAAGATACTCGTCTTTGTGTTCGTAGTAGTAGTTTGAGAGGCTGACCATAACTATATCGTTGACGCCGGCGCGTCGCAGCATAAATGCCTCAAGTGCCCGTGCAGTGCGCCCGTTGCCGTCACCAAATGCGTGCATCGCGCCCAAATGGTAATGTACCGCGATAGCTTGGATAATCGGATCGTGTTGCTGGAATTCGCCCGCAATTGCACTACAGAGAGCGTCGAAAGCGGTTTCACACTCACCACCACCTTCAGCGCCTCGGCAAGTTGGCGTCCCAAATGTTACATTCCATCCGTCCGGACGCAATGCCCCCGGTTCACAGTGGTCATCGTCGCAGCCTGTTACAATGCGTCGATGTATATCAAGAATGAAGTCAGAAGTTACAGGACGATCTGCGGGTTGCTCTCGCATCCACCGATAGGTGGCATCAGCGCACATTCAACTGCCGCTGGGAGTGCGTAAGGCCAGTACGTTGGGGAGACTCCGATGCTAGTGCTTCTTCCTGTTCGCGCGGCGTGAACTCTGCACCTTCTATGCGCGAAGTTCCCGCTGCTTCCAGCCGCAGTTGTTCCTCGTGAGCTTGCTCAATCCATTGGTGCAAGTAAGGCATTTGCCGCATGACGGCTGCGGCAGTTTTCGCCTCAACTAGAAGATTGAACACAGCTGATGGATCGTAGTGTATCCAGTGCTGAGGGATGATGTATCGCCTGACATTTTCGGATGTCATTTCAAGTTCATTTCGGCTTCATTTCCGGCTCATTTCGCAAATTCATACTTGAATTGTACATTTTGAGTTTTATTTCCATTTCATTTCGCGTTCATTTCGATTTTGTTTCCTGTCGAATCCACATGAAATGAGCACTACGCGTCCAGCGCGTCCGCGTCCGGCTTGGCTATCCGCACCTCGATATTGCCGGCGCGTTCTTCTTGCAGGCGCATTGCTACGCGGGAGTCCAGGTCTGCCCAGCCGCGGTTGAGGGCTGCTGTCAGTTCTTGGTGCGCGATGTTGCCGACGCTCATGGGAACACCGTACTCGCGGCCGAGTTCAAGCGCAAGGCTGACGTCCTTGTGGGCGAGACGCAGCGCGAAGCTGGGCGGGTCAAAGTTGCCCGCGAGGAATGTGTTCGGGTATGTGTTTGCGAACGAGCTGCCGCGACCGACCGAGCCGTTGGATATTGCCTCGAAGAGCGGCTGCGGGTCCACGCCCGCCTTGACGCCGAGCGTGAGGCATTCGGCTACGATGGTCTGCAAGCCGTAGCCGATGCAGTTGTGCATCAGCTTGGCGATGCTGCCGGAACCTATGGGCCCGATGTAGCTGACCTTGTCACCAATGGCGTCGAGCGCGGGCTTGACTCGCTCGTACACCTCTCGGTCGCCGCTACCATGACGGCAAGCCTGCCGGTGCGGGCGCCGACCGGCCCGCCGCTCACGGGCGCGTCCAGGACGCTGATGCCTTTCGCCGCAAAGTCCTCAGCGATGCTGCGGATGAGCGTGGGCGAGCTTGTGCTGAGGTCGATGTAAACGCTGCCTTCCGTGTGCCCTCCCCAATGCCCTCAAGAATGCCACCTTCGCCTAACGTGATTGCTTCGACCTCGCGCGGGCCCGGCAGCGATGTGAGCACGATGTCGCAGGCAGCGGCGAGTTCTGCGGGCGTGTCTGCCCATGCCGCGCCGCTCTCCAGCAGCGGAGTCGCCGCCTCACGTCGCAGGTCATGCACTGTCAGGTCATGTCCGGCTCGCAGCACATTCGCCGCCATGCCGCCGCCCATGTTGCCAAGTCCGATGAATCCGATGTTCATTTCGCTCTCCTTGTTGATCCGATTTCAGAGATATAGCCACGATAGGCACACAGAATATGTTAGATTAGGGCTATGGTAGAGCCTGTGGTGTTGTACAGCAAGAGCGGGGCGGTGGCGCATATTGTGCTGAACCGTCCGAGGGTGATGAACGCCTACAATGTGCAGATGCGCGATGAGTTGTTCTTCACATTGGAGGCGGTGCGCGACGACCCGGATGTGCGTGTGGCGGTGATTAGCGGGGCGGGCGAGCGGGCGTTCTGCGCCGGCGCGGACCTGACGGAGTTCGGCACTGCACCTTCGCAGGTCATCGCGCGGCAGGTACGCTGGGAACGAGACATCTGGGGCCTGTTCCTCGCGCTACGGAAGCCTCTCATTGCGGCGATGCGCGGCTATGTAATCGGCTCCGGGGTGGAGATTGCCTGCCTCTGCGATATCAGGATTGCCGCCGATGACGCGCAGTTCGCCTTGCCGGAGGTTGCGCTTGGCATGATACCCGCCGCGGGCGGAACACAGACTCTGCGCCGCGTCGTTGGCGCGAGCAGGGCGCTTGAAATGGTGCTGTCCAACAGGCGCATCGGAGCGGAGGAGGCGAGGCGCATAGGACTGGCGCATAATGTTGTGCCAGCCGATGCTCTGATGAATGAGGCGGATGAGGCCGCTCACCGTCTTGCCGCTCTTAATCCCACTGCGCTCGCGCTCGCCAAGCGTGCCATCCTTGAGGGCATGGACATGCCGCTTGCAGCCGGACTGGAACTAGAGCGCCGTCTCGTGGGTCAGATCCAGGCTGTTGGTGCTTAAACGTCAGTAGAATGGGAAATTCGGACGGGTTATTGACTGACATGCCGAAATGCTGACATACTGACACCATGACCACCGTGCTTGTCGTTGAGGACGAAGAGAACCTGCTCGAAGCGCTCAGATATAGTTTGGAGCGCGAGGGCTACGCTGTGGAAACGGCAATTGACGGTGAACAGGCTCTTAATGCGGCGCGCTCCGTACGTCCCGAGCTTGTGATTCTCGATGTGATGCTGCCGCAGCTTGACGGCTTCGAGGTGTGCCGCATCCTTCGCCGTGAGAGCGATGTGCCCATCATGATGCTCACTGCACGCGGCGAGGAGATAGACCGCGTGGTTGGTCTGGAACTGGGCGCGGACGACTATGTTACCAAGCCGTTCAGCATACGCGAGCTGATGGCGCGCGTGCGCAACATGCTGCGCCGCAGCGCGCGCTCCGCATCCTCTGATGGCGACTCCGGTGATGTCGATATCCTGCGCACAGGCGACCTCGAAATCGACAGCACAAGCCACATCGTGCGGCGAGGCGGCGTGCGGTTGGAACTCAAGCCGCGAGAGTTTGACCTGCTTACGTTGCTCGCCAAGAATCGCGCGCGCGCCTTCACCCGCGATCAGATTCTCGAACGCCTCTGGGGGCACGACTACTATGGCGACAGCCGCACCGTGGATGTGCATATCCGCTGGCTGCGCGAGAAGATCGAGCCTGAACCGAGCAAGCCCGTCAGAATCGTCACGATTCGCGGCGTAGGATACCGCTTCGACGGATGAGGCTGCCCCGATCTCTCCACTGGCGCATTGCCCTAGCTTATACTGTGCTTATTTTCCTGAGCCTGGGCATCGTCAGCCTGTACCTCGTAAGTTTCGTGCGCGATACCTATGTCGCCAACCTGCAAGCCAGCCTGGACAAACAGGCTCGCTTCGTGAGCGACAGTGTGAGCGAGAAAGGGGCCATTATTCCAATTGCTTTCACCGAGCAAGCGGAAGTCGAATTCCAAGCCTTCATATCGAGTATCGGGCAGATTACGAGCGCGAGAGTTACCGTCATAGGGGCCGATGGCAGAGTAATCGCGGACAGCCTGCAATCGCCTTCACAACTTCCATCACAGCTTGGACGCAGCGAGGTGCGTGCCGTACTCTCACAGGACAGCGCCAGCAGTGTTGGCATCGGCTCGCCCCTTGACGGTAGCTTCGCCGAAGAAATGTTGTATGCCGTAGTGCCGATTACATCCTCAGTAGGCACAGGCGGCGTTGTCGGCGCGGCGCGGGTTGCAGTTCCGTCGTCGCAAGTGCAGCCTGACGTCAACCGCATCATCGTCAGCATAGCCGTTGCCGCAGTGCTAGTAGGCCTGCTGTCCGTCGGCGCCGGATACTTTCTGTTTCGCCACACATCACGCTCCGTGCGCGCGGTCGCCGAAGGGGCGAATCGGTTCGCGCAGGGAGACCTGGGACATCGTGTAGCTGCTGCGTCCTCCGATGAGACGCAGGAACTCGCGGTGGCGTTCAACAGCATGGCAGACACCATTCGGAGTATGCTGAGCGACATGTCGGCGGAAAGCAGCAAGCTGACGGCGATGCTGGATACAATGGAAGACGGTGTGATGGTGATAGAGGCGGACGGCAGGATTACACTGATGAATAGCGCCGCAGAGTGGATGCTGGGAGTGGGCGCCGGAGACGCAGTAGGCGCGCGTCTCGTCGAGGCGCTGCGCGACCACGAGATTCAGCAAGTGGCTGCCTTGTCGCTTAGCTCCGGGCGATTGCAACAGGCTGAGGTCGAACTGCTGACGCAGCGACGCTTCCTGAATGCCATAGCGACCCCACTCGGTGGTGGGGGTACCAGCGGTATCCTGCTTACATTGCACGATCTGACGGCCGACCGACAAGTGGAAAACACCTTGCGCGAATTTGTCACCAATGTGTCCCATGAGCTTCGCAGCCCTCTGGCGTCAGTGAAGGCTATGGTGGAGACGCTGGATGACGGCGCGCTGGAAGACGGACGTGCGGCGCGCGACTTCCTGAGCCGCATCAACCGCGAAGTTGACCGAATGAACGCTATGGTCGAGGACCTTCTGGAACTCTCGCGCCTTGAGAGCGGACAGCAACTGCCCAGCCTGACGCCGCTTAACCTGTCTGAGCTGGTGTCAGAGGTCGTATCCGAGTATCGAGACAGGGAGAACGGCGTGGATTTCCGCGCCTTCCTGCCACAGTCGCCGGCAATCGCGCTGGGGGATTACGGCAAGCTGCGGCAGGTGCTGGTGAATCTGCTGGACAACGCGCTGAAAAACACGGAAGCGGGCAGCGTCGAGGTGTCCATCGAAGCAGGAGAGGGCATGCACTTTGTGCGTGTGAGGGACACCGGCGCGGGCATAGCGCACGAGCACCTGCCGCATGTGTTCGAGCGTTTCTACAAGGTTGACCGCGCTCGCCGCGACGGGGGCAGCGGATTGGGGCTTGCGATAGTGCGGCAGATTGTGCAGGCGCATGGGGGCGAGGTACGTGTGGAGACCGAGGAAGGCAGGGGCAGCACTTTCAGCTTCAGCGTGCTGCGGCATTGACGCCTCCCGGCTCATACGCTCCCTCTAATATTCTCGAAAGTGCGGCGACATCCGGCGGGCGCTCCGCATTCAGGTTAGCCAATCTTTCGACGGCTTCCATACGACGCTTGCGCATAACATCTTCAGGGGCATCGTCTATCAGTTCCTGCTTGGCATTAAGCCCTACACCAAATCGGGCCATGTCCCACCCTCAGTCTGTAAATCGGAGAGCCTTAAAGTGTTCCGTTAATCCCACGAAAGCGGGAGTCAAGAAATGACTAAAACAACCAACCCGCAATACCCATCACCAAGGCTGTTAAGATTGCTCCGCCGACGCCCAACACTGCGTAGAGTACACGATCAATCTTGGTGCTCATAGAGCGCGCATCCTGGCGCATGTCGATCTGCCCTTGTGCAAGGTATTCGATTGCGGTTTCGACGCTTGAGATTCTCTCCTGTTCACTAGGTTCTGTTGACATTTGATACATAGAGCGTTTTAGACCTGAAGAGTAGGTTTATTCTGTCATTCTGAACTGAGCGCCTTCAGCCCCTGTCATTCTGAACGGAGCGCAGCGGAGTGAAGAATCTAAACTCGTTGCACAGACGCCATTCACAGACTTCAGATTCCTCGCTTCGCTCGGAATGACAGGAGACAAATGCGAAATGTCCACACAACCTAGCCATGCGTACATGTCCTTAAAGGTTATCAAACAATTACATGTATTGATATTATCAGCATAGTTGGGTGGTTCTGTCAATCGCATATGCTTTGCCCATTTCGCCATTCAAGGGTTACACAGCTCAGCTCCACAAGACAAACACCTTCATTAACGGAATGTTAAAAATCCGTTCACTGATGCTTAAACATTGCGGAGTATCGTTATTCAGGTATGCAAAGAACAATAGGCCAGTCTCAGGAAAGTGTGGAAGCCACCTCGTCAAGCCGCGTGGAGTTGCCGCGCATGCGACGTAGGAAAGGCGATTCCCTTGAAGGCAGAATAGTACGCTGGATATTCTTCGGCTGCGCACTGATTTCTATCCTCACGACCCTTGGCATCATCTTCACACTGGTGTCGCAGGCGATCGGCTTCTTCGTGGAGGTCTCGGTATGGGACTTCCTCACCGGAACCCGCTGGACGCCGATACTGAAGCCCCGCGCCTACGGTGTACTGCCTCTGGTCGGGGGCACGCTGCTCATTGCAGCAATTGCGGCGATGGTCGCGCTGCCCGTCGGTTTGGCGGCGGCGATCTTCCTGTCAGAGTACGCGCCGAACAAGGTGCGCCGCATCGTGAAGCCTGTCCTTGAAATCCTGGCAGGCATTCCCACCGTCGTTTACGGCTACTTCGCGCTCACTTTTGTAACGCCACTGCTGCAGATCTTATTCCCCGAGATGCTGGTGTTCAACGCACTGAGCGCCGGAATCGTGATGGGCGTAATGATAATTCCGATGGTGTCGTCGCTGAGCGAGGACGCTATGAATTCGGTGCCCAACTCACTGCGTAACGCCGCTTATGCGCTCGGCGCGACTCGCGTTGAAGTGAGCCTGCGCGTGGTGGTGCCTGCCGCGCTGTCCGGCATCGTCGCGTCTTTCATTATTGCCATATCTCGCGCCATTGGCGAAACGATGCTCGTTACCATCGCTGCAGGCGCGACGCCGAACCTAACGCTCAATCCACTCGAAAGCATACAGACGATGACCGCATTCATCGTGCAGCTCAGCCTCGGCGAAACGCCGCACGGCTCACTTGAGTACAACACCATCTTCGCGGTGGGTCTGCTTCTGTTCTTGATTACACTGGCGATGAATCTGATGGGCCACTTCATCGTCAAGCGATGGCGGGAGAAATACTAATGCAGCAACCGGCAGCCTTGTTCAGGCCACGCCTGTCTATGCGCAAGAACATGGGTAATGCAATCTATGTTCTGTTCCTGCTCGCTACAATGGCGGGCATTGTCGGGTTGTTGGTGCTGCTGACTCAGATAATCGCCGAGGCCGCGCCTTGGCTCAATTGGAACTTCCTTAATTCGTACCCGTCGCGCCACCCCGAAGAGGCAGGCCTGAAGTCTGCCCTATGGGGCAGCGTGTGGCTGATGGGACTGACGGGTATGTTCGCCATTCCTATCGGAGTGGGCGCCGCCATTTACCTTGAAGAGTATGCGGTGCAGAGCCGCCTGACCGGCTTCATCGAAATCAATCTATCCAATCTCGCAGGCGTGCCGTCAATCGTCTATGGTTGCTGGGACTGACGCTCTTCGTACAGTGGATGTTCCAGGGGGAACGGGTGCTGCTGGCGGGCGCGATGACGATGGCTCTGCTTGTGATGCCAATTGTGATATTAGCGTCGCGCGAAGCGATTCGCGCTGTGCCTGACACCTACAGGCAAGCGGGCTACGCGCTCGGCGCGGAGAAGTGGCAGGTAGTAAAGGGTATCGTGCTGCCCCAGGCGCTTCCGGGCATTCTCACCGGCACGATACTGGCAATGTCCCGCGCTCTCGGCGAAGCGGCGCCGGTCATCGCCATAAGCGCGCTGGTCTATCTGACATTCGTTCCGGTGCATCCGCTGGAGCAGTTCACCGTACTGCCGATACAGATATTCAACTGGACATCGCGACCGCAGGACGAGTTCCGCGGCATAGCGGCGGCGGCCATCGTCGTGCTGCTAGTTGTGCTCCTCACTATGAACGCGGTGGCAATAATCGTGAGAGACCGTCATCAGGTGAGATCGGATGGTTCATAACGTGAACGGCAGCAATACCGATAACACCAACGGCAATATAGTCCTGCATTCCGAGGATGTGAGCGTCAACTACGGCGACTTCCGCGCGCTGCGCGACATCAATATGGACATCAAGCGCCGTGAAGTTACCGCGCTCATCGGTCCGTCCGGTTGCGGCAAAAGCACGATGTTGCGCTGCTTCAACCGCATGAACGATCTCGTGCCGGGTGCGGAAATCAGCGGTCGGATACTATTCGAAGGCTACGACCTGTACGGCGCGGATGTTGACCCGACCGAGATACGCTCGCGCATCGGCATGGTCTTCCAGAGGCCGAACCCCTTCCCCAAGTCAATTTACGATAACGTTGCGTTCGGGCTGAAAATCAACGGCTACCAGGGGAACTACGACGAAGCAATCGAACAGTCCCTGCGGCAAGCTGCGCTGTGGGACGAGGTCAAAGACCGTCTGAACACGAGCGCCCTGGACCTTTCCGGCGGTCAGCAGCAGCGACTCTGCATTGCCCGCGCCATCGCAGTAGAGCCGGAAGTGGTGCTTATGGATGAGCCCGCATCCGCGCTCGACCCCATCGCAACCCTTGCCATTGAGGAGCTTATCCGCGAACTGAAGGTCAACTACACCATCATCATCGTAACCCACAACATGCAACAGGCGGCGCGCGTTTCGGACGATACGGCGTTCCTGATGGTTGACGAGGACAGGTGTGGCTACCTCGTCGAGTTTGCGCTCACGCAGCAGATATTCACCAACCCCACAGACGAGCGAACAGAGGCATATATTACTGGACGGTTTAGCTAGGCGGACGCTTCAGCAAGGTAGCCGCCCCAGAGGGAACGACCTTTCCTCGCAAGGACTCAGACATGCCGAGAGCAGAATTTGACCGCGACCTGCGAATTGTTCAGGACGAACTGCTGATGATGGGCAGCATGGTGGAAAAGGCTATCGGGCGCTCACTGGAGGCTCTGAAGAACCGCGACCTGCTGATGGCTGAAGAGGTTGTGCGCGACGACGACATCATCGATGACAAGCAATACGAGATCGAAGAGAAGTGCATTGATCTCATAGCCACTCAGCAGCCGATGGCAGTGGATCTGCGTACTCTCGTTACCGTGATGCATCTCGCCGGCGAGCTGGAGCGCATGGGCGACTACGCCGAAGGCATCGCCAAGATTTCCCTGATGATGGGCGACGAACCGCCTCTGAAGCCGCTGATAGACATCCCCCGAATGGCAACCATGGCGTCCGATATGCTGCGCCGCAGCCTCGACGCTTTCGTCAACCGCGATGTCGTCTCTTCAATGGTCGTGCGCAATGACGACGACGAGATAGACGCTCTGTACGAACAAGTCTATCGTGAACTGCTGACATTCATGCTTGGCGACCCGACGGTAATCCGACGAGCTACCTATCTGCTATGGGCGGCGCATAACATCGAGCGCATCGCAGATCGCACCACGAACATCGCGGAGAATGTCATCTACATGGTGACCGGTGAGCGCATCGACGTGGTAGCCTCACCGACCAGCTAAACGCCATACATGGGACGGACAGGATATTACTCCATTATCTTATCCCTGTATGTCCCTGTTTTCATGTATGGCGATGCAGCTTCTCGAAGAAGTCGCTGAAGATTGCGTCCCTGTTCAGCCAGTCAACGATTCGCATAGGATGGCGGCTCGCGTCCCGGCTGTATCCCAGGTGGTCGTTCAGCATCGGAGCTCCCTCGATGTGGGTCTTCAGCCAGTCCGAGTTCAGCAGCCACGCTCCGGGAGCCAAGTCCCAGATGGGCTTGCTGCGGCCCGCGAAGTCCTGCACAAAGTCCTCGTATAGTTGGAATAGGTAGTCGCCGATCCTGCCGCGCCCCTTTGACCTGCTGCATCATCTCCCAGCGCGTCGTGCGAAGCAGCTCGGACACGCCAAAGCCGGTTACATGCACCATCGCGACTCCGCTGTCGAAGACCGCCTGTGCCGCCTTGATGTCCTGGATGAAGTTGAAGTCGTGGAAGCCCGCAACGTGGTACGGCCAGCCGCCCAGCGCAACCACGCAGATGCGCTCGCGGATGCGCGGCTCCATCAGGACTGGCGGACGCCACATTCGTCAGAGAGCCCAGGGCGAGCACATACAGCGTTTCATCGCGGTCCCGCATCGCCCGGCTGACGATGTTGTCGGCGGCATCGCTGGGCACCGGCTCGCCGCCAGTGGCGGTCATCGTCTGCCGCGAGCCGTAAAGCACTGGCCCGTCGTAGCTCACCGGCGAGAGTTCCAGCACGCGCTGAATCTCCTCGTAGCTCAGCTCCATGCCGTGCTCGAAGCTATTGGTGTTTCGCACAGCAGCGTGGAAGCCCGCCGCCTGAATCGTCTCTATGCGCAGCTCCGGCGACATCAGCGCGTGAATGATGGCGAACTGGTCGTCAACCTCGTTCCATGTGTCGGTGTCGATGATGACGCTGCATCCGCCGCTCGGCGGCTCCAGCAGTCTAACAGTGGTGGCGTGGTCGATAGGTGATAGTGTTGTCATGCGGTCAGTATATCATGGGGGCGAAACCGGACGGATAGGACGAATTTGTTGGGTAGTGCGTTAATACGAAATTTATTCGCAAAAGAAATTGCCCCCGATAGTCGGGGGCTATGATTGGTTTACGGTTGATAGAGATTTGACTTGAGATATAAGCGGGATACGGATATGACTCGATCATTTTCGATCATGTAAGCCATGTGCCAATATCGATTGTTGGTGAGTATGACTCCCGACCTGTTGGGGAAATAGTCTGCACGAAATTTAGTTTGCTCATCCGGTTCAGGGCTGCGCAGTACCTCAGCAAATAAATCTATGGCGGCTTCTACTTCATTTCCGTTCGCTTTTTCAAGTTCCAACAATGCCGATTCTGATAGGCGCAGCCTATTCGATGGTGCGGTATGTCCTGTTCTGCTCATCTATCTCTATCGTTCGATACTCCCCTCGCTTAATTTCATTGAAGCCCTCCTCAATATCCGCAGTAACCCAATCGGATCGGAGTTTGGAAAGTTCCTCTCTTGACTGCTCCGGTGACTGCCCTTCTCTCTCTTTAGTAGTCAACTGCCGCCTCCCATGTCCTTGGATTTCCGCTGAACCGCAGCGTCAGGTGTCTAATTTCCGATGTTGGATTACCAGTGTAGAAAGATTTTTCCAAAATGTCAATTTCAGGAATTGTTTGCATTGACTGTATATTTCGGACGATTCATACAGCCGTACTCCCGATTTATGCTACGATGGAGTATTGCTATCGCGAATATGAGCCGTGATTACGAGGACCTTAAGAATTGGAATTGGGAGAGGACACAATGCCACCACATTCACTAAGCCCCAACGTGCTTTCCTGGGTGCCACAGGAGCAGATCGAGGAAGTGGCGCTGCAGCAGATACACAGCCTTTCCGAAATGCCGTTCATCTTCAAGCATGTGGCTGTGATGCCCGATTGCCACTTTGGGTTGGGCGCGACGGTGGGTTCGTGCATCCCCACGCTGAGAGCGATCATCCCGGCTGCTGTGGGCGTGGACATCGGCTGCGGCATGATTGCGGCGAAGACGAGCATGAGCCGCGCCGACCTACCATGACGACCTATCCGACATCCGCAAGGCTGTCGAGCACCAGATACCGCTAAGCGCGGGACGCTACAATGCCAGCGTCAAGAAGACCGCAAAGCCGCGCATCGAGCAGCTGGAAGGCAGAGCGGAAGAACTGGGGCGGCTGGATTTCTACGACAAGACGGGGCGCAACTGGCGCAAGCAGCTTGGTTCGCTCGGCTCGGGCAACCACTTCATCGAGATTGTGCTCGACGAAGAGGATGGCGTCTGGGCGTTCCTGCACTCCGGTTCTCGCGGCGTCGGCAACCGCCTGGCAACGCATCACATCAGGGTAGCGAAGGGGATTATGGAGCGCGATGGCGTCGAGCTGCCGGATGCCGACCTCGCCTACCTGCAGGAAGGCACGCCTGAATTCGACGACTACATAACGGACCTGGAGTGGGCGCAGGAGTTCGCGCTGCTGAACCGTGAGGAGATGATGGAGCGCGTCATCAAGCTGCTGCAGTATCGCTGCGGCGACTTCGAGGTTGTCGAGCGTATCCAGTGCCACCACAACTTCACGCAGCGCGAGAATCACTTCGGCGAGGACATACTGGTGTCACGCAAGGGCGCAATCGAGGCGCGCGAGGGGCAGCTTGGGCTGATACCCGGCTCGATGGGACGCGCAGCTACGTGGTGCGCGGGAAGGGCAACGCGCAGGCGTTCAACACCGCGCCGCACGGAGCGGGTCGCCGCATGAGCCGCCGCAAGGCGCGTGACTCCTTCACGATGGACGACTTCGACCGCCTGATGACGGGCATCGAGGTCAACCGCTCCGAGGCGTTCCTCGACGAGCTACCGGGCGCGTACAAGGACATCGACCTCGTGATGGAGCAGTCGAAGGACCTCGTCGAAGTCATCCACACCTTCCGCCAGATTGTGAACGTGAAGGGGGCGTAACCGGGACTGACATCGTTAAACGGGATAAGTAGGACTTATCCCTTGACATAGACGAACATACAATCTATATTGTTTCAGCAAGGGACAGACCCGATTGATTTGGGTCTGTCCCTTTTTTGTTGGCGGTTGTTGATTCGGATCGGATGCGTGGGAGGTTTGGGATGGCGTTCACGGATGGGCAGAGGTCGCGCTTTCGCATTGCGGACTCGGGTGGCGTGATGCGCGACCTGTCGGCGTACATCACGGAAGTGAGCGGGCTGCCGGGCGGGCGAACACTGAACGAAGTAACGGCTCTTGGCGATACCGGCGCGCGCTTCAAGCCCGGCGCGGAGTCAACAGTATTCACTCTGAGTGGGCTGTTCGATGACACGGCGGTCACGGGCGCGGACTCCGTTCTGGGCGCACTGAGATACCACACCGACCCCACACGGTTCGAGTACGCGCCGTCAGGTTTCACGGTGGGCAAGGTGCGCTACACGGGCGAGTGCTGGGTGAGGTCCTACGAACTACTCAGTCGCAGTGGGGAGATCGTGTCCTGGAGGCGACGCTGCAAGTTGAAGGCACGATCAACAGGATGTAAGGGATGTGGATGACGCGGAGGTGTAAGGGATGAGCGATGCGAAGTGGAAGCTAATGGTGGACTGGCAGGGCGATGGAGAGTTCTCGGGCGCAGATGACGATATTACCCCCGCAGCGCTAGGTCTGTCGCTGCGGCACATGCGAGATCTGAGAAGCGAGTATATTGATCCGGCGCGGCTGCACATTCGGCTGGCGAACTTCGACCACAAGTACAGCCCGCCCAACACGGCATCGCCGTTGTTCGGTGCGCTCAAGCCAGGACGAAAGGTGTGGCTGCGCGCCGCGTTCCCGTGCGACGAGTTCGGTGATATTGCTGGCACAAGCCTCGCTGACCACGCGCCCGAATACGGCGCGGCGTACCGCTGGACTGATGCTAGCCATGACTTTCGCATTGCTGCCGATGGCGGCGCGCAGACGAATGGCGCCCGCTCCGGACGGCGCATCGCAACGATGGACTTCGGCCTTGCGGATGTGTCGTTCGGCTGCGATTTCACGCGCGGAAGCAATGCGACGCAGCATGGCGGGCTCACCCTGCGATATGCGGACGCCGACAACTTTCTGTATGTGCGTGTTATGCCCAACGCGGTGCAGGTTCGCAGAGTAGAGCAAGGAAGCGATGCACTGGTGGGTGAGTCGGCGCTGCAATGGAACGCCGGTGAGCGGCGATTCATACAGGTGTTGCTGCACGGCGACTCTATTCGAGTGTTTGTTGATGAGAAGCAAGTGATAGCGGCACGCTCAGGGTTCAACCGCACCGCAACGCGGCACGGCTTGCACTGCGATGGCGCAGCCGATCACCTGTGGCAGCAGTTCGGTGGCTGGGCATCGCTCTTCTACGGCGATGTCGAGAGCATCGACCCGCAGCCCGGAGCGGGGCCCGGAGCGGGGCAATGTCGCATACGCGCTTACGACGAGATGCGCCGTCTTGAGAGCGTAACGCTGTACATGTACGCAACATCCTCATTTCCTCAGACATCCGACGATATTCTCAAACGACATCTGGACTATGCGGGCGTTGACGCAGCATTCGCAGGCTGGATGCGGGCACAGAACTTGTGCCGCAGTTATGGAGTCCGCCGCTCTGGGGAGTGCAGGCTGCGGACGAGATTCGGCGCTTGCAGGATGAAGAGGACGGCTTCATCTATGTGGACGGGCACGGCTTCTGGCGCATGGAGAGTCGCGGTCACCGTGAAGCGGCACCACACTCGGCGGCAAGAGCGACGCTGAGGGCGCGCAATGACGGCGCAGATGCCTACTTCTCCGCCCTGGAGTGGAGCGACGGTGTGGGCAACATCGAAAACAAGGTCTTCATGCGAGTCCGCGACGCCACGAACCACGGACATCGCACGGCTTGGACGCTTGGAGAGACGCCGCACTTCGACGCAGGCGAGACGCGCGAGTTCCTCGCAGAAAGCAAGGACTTCGATGTCGTTGGTGGACAGCTCAGTCCGCAGGCGAGTACCGACTATGCGGCAAACACGCAACCCGACGGCACGGGCACTGACATCACGGCGCAGCTCACCGTTACATATCCCGCGACGAGGCTATACAACGGCAAGGGCACCCTGATACGCGTGCGATTCGGCGGAACTGCGGGATACCTGACACGGCTGGGGATGCGCACCGTAAACGCTCTGACCTTCAACGCGCCGGTGCTGGTGACCGCAGAGGACACGAACAGCCAGCTCACTTTATGGGCAGCGCATTCGCAGCATAGACGCTCGCTGGACGCGCGAGGTGCAGTCGGCGCAGGCAACAGTCTCACGGCGGTTGGCTCGCAAGTCTTCGCCGCGCACCGCGCTCAGCGTGACTCTGCCCAACGGCTCGGACGCCAACATGCTTCTGATGCTGCAAGTTAGGTTGTCAGATCGGCTCGCCGTGCATTACGAGGACATGGGCGTGGACGGCGACTTCTTCATAGAAGGCTACACGCTCGAAGTGGGGCAATCGGGAAAGCAATTGGAACGGACGCTGCTATTGCAGCAGGCATGATTTGCGTTCTCAATCAGACTTAGGAACCCCTACCCTCTCTGAGGGGAAGGGAAGGTTAGGGGAAAGGAGACTGAAAGTTGGTTAGCGACTTGATTCAGTTCATCAACATAGGATTGGCTGGCGTCCTGCTCATGTGGTTCATGTTCCGTCTGGAGCGCATGCTCGTGCGCTTGGACAAGACACTGCAGCTGATGGCGCGCGCCACCTTCCGAATGCTCGACCGCCGCGACCCCATGACGGCGACAGACCTCAGCAAGGAGCTGTATCGTGTGAGCGGAAGTGAAGAGGAGTAGGGATCAGACAAGGAAAGAGGCGGGATTTTGGTCCCGCCTCTTTCCTTTTGTTACTGGTTATTTGCTAAACCTGACACCTACACTCTACCCCAACTGATAGATCTGTATGCGGTGCCGCGACGACTCCGTAACGAGCATGCGCCCATCGTTGTCGAAGTTCACGGACGCAGGTCCCCAGAAGTACGGCTCGATTTGCGAAGAGATCTGGTGCCGCGTGTTCAGGTGCGGCGGCAGCTCCGGCGTTAGGTTGGAAATCTTGCGCGTCTCAACCTCGTCCGGGTTGGCGGCGAGGAAGTCATACGCCCACTTGGAAAAGCGTCGCCTCGCCTAGAAGCGTCATCAGGTGGCTGCCGTCCCCGGCTAGCACCTGTACGCGCTCGTTTCCCCAGTCCGTAACATAGATATTGCCGTCCGAGTCAACAGCAACTCCTGCGGGACGGGTGAACTGCCCGTCGCCGTCCCCCGACTCGCCGAACTTTGCGATGAACTCGCCGTCCGCGCTGAACTGCTGGATGCGGTCGTTGCGCCAGTCCGCTACGAATACGCTGCCGTCCGGCGCGACGCAGATGCCCCACGGCATATTCATCTCACCGTCGCCGCTGCCCTCGCTGCCGAAGCTGAGGAGATGCCGACCGTCCGGCGTGAGCTTCTGCACGCGATGGTTGTTCTGATCGGTGATGTACAGATTGTCCTCGGCGTCAACTGCGATGCCGGATGGACCGTTGAGCTCCCCCGGCTCACTGCCCAGAGTGCCCCAAGCCCTCACGAAGTCGCCGCTGTCCGCGTCGAAAGTGCTGATGCGATGGTTGTACTCGTCCGAGACATAGACACTGCTGCCGTCGTTGCTCAGCGCGATGCCAGCCGCGAGCCGCATCTGACCCTCAGCGTCGCCGTGCGAAGAGAACTCGTAGAGGTAGTCATCGTCCATGGTGACCACTCCGACACGCGTTAACACAGGCGCGCCGCGGTTCAGCACGAAGATGCGCCCGTCCGCGTGTACCGCGAGGTCAACCGGATTGGCGAAGCCGCGCCCCAGCGGAGCGTTGTTCACGATTCCTATCGTCTTCACATATTCGAGCTTCAGCGTCTTTGCGGCAGAAGTGGTCATGCGTTATGTCCTCGTCAACGGAATTAACATCGATGGACAGAACAGCTATCGATCCCTTCCCCCTTGATGGGGGAAGGTTAGGATGGGGGTGATAACCATCCTGTCCATCCTGTATATCGATGTAAGTTCTTTTATACTAGCTGGTACTCGGTGGTCGATGCGATGAGACCAAGCAGTTCGCCGACGCGCTGTTCGGATTCGTCGCCCTGCTCGTGGCCTGCGAGCGATACGTCGCCCTTAATGCCCACATGCGCGATGAGCGCCGCGCGCAACTCAATGTCCATCTCGGCGGTGCCCATGATGTCCAGGCAGGCGTCCACAATCTCGGTCGCCGTGTACTCGCCGCCGTTGTCATCTGCCAGTCTGTCGAGCAATAGCCGAACGCCCGGAGCGTTGATGTTGCTAATCTCCTTGGCGGCGAAGTTGACGCGCTCTACCAGCGCGCCGCTGTTGATCCACTCCGTGCCCTCGTGCCAGCCCTCGACCGACGGCGGGTTGAGCAGCGTCTGCCCCATGAAGCCGGAAAGGTCCGAAGTCGGGAGGATGCCCATGTCCGGCTGCGTTACTCTGCCGCTGAGTCGCATCGTACCTGCTACCAGTTCTGCCGGGCACTTGACCCGCGCATACTGCGCCTCTTTGAAGAAGTCGGAGTTGAAGAGCACGCGCAGCATGTGGCGAATCTCGTGGTCGCCGTCGAAGTACGCCTGCGACAGTTCGTCGATGGCGTCCGGGTCGCGCGGCGCTGTGTAGGGCCACTGCGCCACCGGCTCCTCGTCAGCTACGAAGAAGTCGTACAGATGTCGGGCGATGAAGCGAGCCGTCGCCGGCTGCTTGCAGACAATGCGCACGATGTCGTCGCCGTTGAAATTGCCCGTCTCGCCGAGGAACTGCTTATCGCCGTCATCATGGTCGCCGTCGCGGAAGTTGAAGTGCCACGCGATTCTGCCATAAGGCCAGATGGAGTCCTTCGATGCGCGCACCGCCATGTACTCGGCGTTGCCCAGCGTCCAGCCGGTGAAGGCGCGGGAGGCTTCCTTGACGTCGTCCTCGGTATAGTTGCCGATGCCCATGCTGAAGAGTTCCAGCAGTTCGCGGCCCCAGTTCTCGTTGATGGCGCCGTCGTGATTCTCCTGGTTGTCCAGCCAGATAATCATCGACGGGTCCTTGGCGAGGTCGATCATCAGATCGTCGAGCTTGCCGAGTCCCAGCCTGCGGAACATGTCGATCTGGTTCAGCAGCGAGCGCGCCTGGTTCGTCTTGGCGTATCCGGTAGCGAAGACGCCGTGCCAGAAGAGCGCAACCTTCTCCTCCATCGGCGCCTTTGTGGTCACCATGCGGTAGAGCCAGTAGGCGGAGGCGGCGTTGCCGAAGCGCAGCTCGTGCATGTCGGTATGATAGCGCTTGATAATGTCGTCGGGCATGTTCTGCGCGTCGCCGGGATGCAGAAGCTCCTCGACCGCAGCCTCATAGCCCAGTTCCTCGTAATGATCAAGCTCGACCGGCGTCGCGCCGAAAGAAGCGCGCCTCAGCAGATGCTTGATGAGTCCAACATCGGATTTCGTTGCAGTGGTCATATTCGCCTCCAAGAGGATCTGTTAGATTAAGTTCTTATGTCATCGCTTCGACTTCAACAAGTCGGCTATTGACAGGATCAACTCCAAGTCCCAAGCCTTCAAGGGCGTACGCGCCGAGCAGCGGCTTGACTTTTTCATCTCCAAAAACAACGAGCGTCATAACTTCTCGACCAGCAGCGCGTATCCAGGTCTGCCCAAGACTGCGCTCAACACGTCGTCCGTCTGACATAATCAAACTCGTCTGACGCATAGGCTTTACATCAAGTCGTTCTAGTAACGATGACGGCACACTTGTATATGTCGCCCCCGTATCGACAAGGGCGTTCATAAGCTCAAACTCCGTCCCAGATGGGTTGCCCAGCGCTATGGAGTATTGGAATGTTCCCAATTACGATTCTCGCAATGCTACATGTGTGATGTGTAATTCTCGGTCAAATATCCAATGCTTGACCGGGAAAACTATCGAACAGCCCTACTTCTTGATGAACTCCAGCTTCTCGAATGTGCCGTTCACGATCGGCTTGGCGTCCACGCCCATCCAGTCCTCAAGCAGCGTGGTGTACGCGCTGCGGAAGTCGTTGTTGAAGTGCATATCGCCTTCGAGCTGGTCTCTCGGGCGCGAGCGATGGGGAAGTCGCCGTACAGGCCGCCCTTGACGCCGCCGCCTATGACGAACGCAACGCCTCCTGAGCCGTGGTCGGTGCCGGAGCCGTTGTCCTTGATGCGCCGCCCGAACTCGGAGAAGATGACGATTGCCGTATCGTTCTCATAGCCATGCTCTTCCACGTCGTCCCAGAAGTCGCCGACCGCGTTGGACAGCTCGCCGATGAGCTTGGCATGCACCGGCACTTCGCCCGCATGCGTATCGTAGCTGCCCTGACCCGTGTAGAAGATGCGCGTGCCTATGTCCCCGAACATCACCTGCGCGGCATCCCGCAAGCTCTGCGCTATCGAAGTGCCCGCGTACTCGATGCTCGACGAGTAGTTGCGCGGAGCGGTGCCCAGAGTATCGGCACCCTGCATCACGCCACGCCCCGTCTGCTGGATGAACTCTTTGACAGCATCCTTGCCCGAGCCGCCGTACATCTGCGAGAACATATCAAGCGTCTGATTACGGATAGCCTCGTCGCGGATGTCGGGATACAGCCCGTATGTTGCGAGATCGCCGACTGACGCCACTGGAACGCCCTGCGCCGAAAGAACGCGAGGCAGGCCGCGACCGAAGTTGACGGCTGTCAGCACATTCTCGCCCTGCGGATCGAGGTCGCGCGTGAGCTGACCCAGCCAGCCTTCTGTGGCGACCTTCGTCGGCTCGGCGGTGTGCCAGATATCCATCGAGCGGAAGTGAGAGCGGTTCGGGTTCGGGTAGCCGATGCCGTTGATGACGGCGACCTTGCCCTCGTCCCACAGCCTCTTGATTGCAGTCATATTCGGGTTCAACCCGATGTTGCCGTCCAGCTCCAGCAGCTCTTCGGGCTTAAACTGCACCGCAGGACGGAAATAGTAATAGTGCTCATCATTGATGGGAACGACCGTATTAAGCGCGTCGTTGCCTCCTGTGAGCTGTACAAACACCAAAGATTTGCTATGCCCGTTGCTGCCATTGGAACCCATTATCTCGCTCCTCTCCTAACGCCTGTGCGTACTGTTCTGCCTTGTATCATTCACATCTTCATGATGCGACAAACAGCCTGAACACCTAGTGTATCAGGCCATCAGGCGCACCTATGCATTGTACGCTTGTAATTGTGCGCTTTTCATGGAAATTGGTCAAGTCCCAATGAGGGCAAAAGGCGCAGCATCGCTCGCAATCAGCACTCGGCTTATGTTATTGATGGGAACTGCAATATGTTCGGGTAAATCTCCCGGTGAACCGTTTGCCTAAAGGCGATGTCGCCATCACTCACGGCTGCCCCTGAGACGAGGATCCAAAGCGTCCCTGAGTCCATCGCCCAGGATGTTAAAAGACAGCACAGTTATGGTAATGAACAAGCCCGGATAAACGACAAGCCACCACTGTATCAAGGGTCTTGCCCAGCCTGACCGCGAACTCTGTTAGCGTGGATACGCTTAGTCGAGACGCCCCCTCAGTTTCGGGTCTAGGTGGTCTCGCAGACCATCGCCGAATATATTGAAGGCGAGAATTGTGATGGTGATGGCAAGTCCGGGATACACCACCATCCACCATGGGGGTCTGAACTGCTCGGCAAGCGTTCCACCCAGCATTGCGCCCCAGCTGGCGTTTGGCGGTGGTATGCCCAGTCCCAGGAAACTCAGCGCGGACTCGGCGAAGATCGCGCCTCCCAGGCTGGCGCTGGCGATAACCAGCAGCGGCGCGACCGTCTGAGGCGCTATATGCCTGAGCATAATTCGCAGCGGCGAAGCGCCCATTGCCTGGGCGGCCGTGATGAAGTCCATCTCCTTGACCATGAGCACCACGGATCTGATGATCCTGGTCGTGCCCGCTATACTGCCAATTGAGATTGCGATGATGACCGTGAAGACTCCGCTGCCGGCTGCCGTCAGAAGCAGCAGAGCTAAGATGACCGATGGTATGGACATCAGAACGTCCAGGAACCTCTGGCTTATCAGATCGAACTGTCCTCCCTTGAAGCCGCTCAGCGTTCCCCATGAGAAGCCGATGATCTTCGCAATCAATACGGAAGTGAAGGCTATCAACAGGGAAGTGCGGCTGCCCACGATGATGCGGCTTAGTGCATCTCTGCCAAGATGATCAGCGCCCAACGGGAGGTCCCAGGACGGGGGTTGTCGTATTATTTTGTAGTTTGTTGTATTTGGATCATGGGGCGCCAAGACATCTGCGAAAATGACTATGAACAACAGGAAAAGCAACACCGCTGCGCCTGCGACGGCAAGCGGCGCAGTTCTGGAAAACCTCCTTATCGAGCCTAAAGAGGCTTTGCCCACATCGAGAGAAGTTTGTACTACTCCCTGTTCAGCTGAGTCTGCCCCTATTTCCCGCATCTATCTCTCCCCCAACGCAAGCTCATTATTGATACCGGATTCGTGGATCTATCAATCCATAAACCAAGTCGATGGCAAGGTTGATGAACACGAACGTCAGCCCATATATCAGGACAAGTTCTGAATGATCATCCAGTCGCGCTCGGTTATTGCTTGCACCAGCGAAAGCCCCAGCCCTGGCACTCCAAAGGCTCGCTCCACTGCCACTGAGCCTCCCAGCAGAGAGGCCATCTGCAAGCCCGACACTGTGATGACGGGCAAGAGCGCGTTCCTCATTACATGCCGCCAGATTACGTACTGTTCACCCATTCCCTTAGCCCTGGCGGTGCGAACAAAGTCCTCACGGTACACTCCAGGAGCGTGGAACGGCTCATTCGAGCAATCGCCGCTCCGAGTCCGACGCCCATAGCCAAGGCAGGACCAAGCGTTATTTGCAAGTTCTTGATGGGATCATCCCACAGATAGAATATCGTAAGAGGTGGCCGCCATGTCCATACAAGGACCGTTATGAGAACGAACGTAAGCCCCAGCCAGAAGCTGGGTACCGCCAGGAAAAGCGTAACCACAATACGAGTAGAGTGGTCCAGCCACGTATTTCGCCACACCGCCCCGATGATGCCGACGGGAAGCCCAACTACCCATGACACAAGCACCGCCATTATCGCTATCTGAGCGGTAATGGGCCCACGCCTCAGGACCATGTCGCGGATTGGCCTGGCTTGCCAGAAAGACCTGCCCAACTCTCCTTTGGCCACATCACCCATCCAGCTCAGGTACTGCATAACGAGTGGCTTGTCCAGTCCAAGACTGGCACGCGCCGCAGCGAGCTCTTTCTCGGTGAGAAGATAGACCCCGGTGTCTTCACCCACTATCTGGCTGAGTGGGTCGCCGGGCAGTATCCTCATGAAAAAGAAGATTACTATCGTTACGCCAAGGATAGTGGGGACAGCCAACAGGAGGCGGCGGTACAGGTATTGCTGCAATGTGCGTCCTTACGGGGGCATATAGCAATAGGGGGCGAGCCGTGGATATTCGCGCACGCCTCGCCCCCTATCAAATCGCTTGTTCTCCGCTGATGCCTATTCTTCTTGGTCTAGCCAGACGGAATCTAGGCGGCACCAGCAGGTATGAGTCCGCTGTTCCATCGACATCCCTTTCACATTGTTTCTCCACATCGGGAGGTGGCTCGTGAATCCAATAACAAACAGAGGGTTTTCCTCGTCGAGGAATGTCTTGGCCTGCTCGAAAAGCTGCGCGCGCTCAATTGGGTCTTGCGCTTTGTTGAGCGCTTCCACCATCATGTCGAACTCAGGATTGCAGTAATGCACCTGGTTCTGCGACCCATCGCAAGTCAGCCTCTGCATCCACATGGGCGTCGGATCCTGGGTAGGAGAGCCGAACGCCGTCGTCACCTGTATGTCGTATTCACCCGCCAGTGCATTCTGGCCAAGCAGCGCTCTCTCGGTAACTCGTATCTTGCCCTCAATGCCCAGTGACTGCAGGAGTTGGTCTTGGAAGGCTGGAGCGAGTATCTCGGAGTGAGGCGCTACCGAGGCGACTACTATGTCCAGGTCCGGTATGCCTTCAGCGTTGGGATAACCTGCATCAGCCAGTAGCTGCTTGGCAGTGGCGATGTCATCAGTTTTGTCTTCTCGATAGCCAGGCATGGTCGCAAGATCTTCCGGCGATGTAGCGCCCTCAGAGGCGTAGGACATCCAACCTGTAAGTGTCATAGGCTCCTGAGTTCCGAAAGCCGCGATAAGTGCCTGTTTGCTCACCCCAAGACGAATGGCTTTGCGGACCCTCGGGTCGTCAAGCGGCTTGCGCTGGTTGTTGAAGTTCACATTGTATGCGCCGAAGCCTGGTATCCTTCTCGTCTGCACGATGTCGGAGCGCCTCAACCCTTCCTGGTGTGTTTCCATAGAGACATTCCAACTAAAGTCCGCCTGATGAGTCAAGACGGCAGTGCCTCTGTCTGTCCAGGCCGGCACGTGAAGCATTTCCAGCCTGTCAAGATACGGCACTTCGGGGTTCCAATAGTTAGGGTTGGCTTCGAACACCCACTTCTCTGCCGGAGTGTGGGACACAAACATAAAAGGCCCAGTGCCCGGGGCAACCTCTACCTGCCTCAGGTCGTTGTCATTCTCTTCTAAGGTCTTCGTTGAATAGACGATGTGATTGGTGTTTGTCATCACCTCCAGCAGCCATGTCCTCGGTTCACTCAGCGTGAACTGGACTGTGTTGTCATCTACGGCGTCAATGGTGTCCACAACATTGTAGAAATCCCTAAGAGTGCTCACCACACCTTCGGGCGGCATGGCCATACGCCTGAAGCTAACCACAACATCGTCCACAGTCAACGGAGTTCCATCATGGAACTGAACGCCTTCACGTATCGTGAACGTGTAAGTCAGCCCGTCTCCGGATATGTCCCAGTCCGTAGCCAGCAAGGGGGTTACGGTTCTGAGTCCGTCCGGGATAGTCTTCATAAACAGCCCGTCATACAGATGACCCAGCACATGGGTGCCCGCACCCTGGTGGGCATCGAAGTGCTGCATGGTCACGCCAAAGGCCGTCCTCATCGTGCCGCCGCGCTGGGGGAAAGGCTCCGGCGCGCGAGTCAGGAACCCCTGCGCCTTGGGAGTGGCAACCACTTCAATCTTTTCGACCAGCGGCGCAGCAGTCGGGATTGACTTGATTGCTTCAGACACAATCATCTGCACTTCGTCCGCAGACAGCGTAGATGCACCAGATGTAGCTGCGTCAGCTACTGCTTTGGCGACAATATCCTCAATATCCGCTTTCGACGCGCCGGGTTGGGCTGCCGGCTGCGCCGCTGCCGTTACTGCTTGCTGCACCATCGCGCTGATTTCTTCTGCGCTCGCACCCTCCGGAGCGCCGGCAGACACCGCCGCCTCCACCATGCTCTGGATCTCCTGCGCGGACACCGGCGCAGGTGCCGCGGACTGCTCAGGGACGGACTGCTTCACCGCGTCCTGCACAAGCTTGCTGAGCTCTGCGGGGTCGATCGCGGGCTGGGCAGGAGCAGGAGCCGGGGCTGGCGCGGCTGCCGGTTGGCTACCGCACGCGATTGCCGCCATTGCGAACGCGGCGATTACAAAGACGAACAACGACGCTTTTACATTAAACAATCTGCAAAACATGCTCACCTCTCAAGTGGTCACTAGCAATAATTTGACGAAAGGTTAGGGGCTGATTGCGGGATAAGTTGTTAAGTTCGCTGGATTAAATCACCAAATACTTCTTATGTCAAATACAGATAAATTTGCCGGATTTCCCTCCCACATAACAGAAAACTGAGTTGAACGCATCGTGCGAACAACCCAGTCCTCGTTAGCTTCTTGCCAGTTGGTCTTAGCCGAGTAGTGTCATCAGGCCAGCAGCACCTCGCTCAGCCGCCGTATGACAATCTCCAGCTCTTCGTCGTCCAGATTGAGCGGGTCAACTGCCAGTTCGTCCGGATCGAATATGTCATGCAGGTATATCGGCGGGTCGCCTGCGATCATCTCCTGATACACCCTCGTTGCGCCCCGGCCCGCGCCAGTCCCTCGTGAAGCGCATCACCGCATGCGGGATGAGATAGTTATGCTCGTCGTGCTCCAGCGAAACGCGCAGCCCGTCAACCTCCGCGAGCGCGTCAACGACCTGCTGCGCCTTGCGGCGGTACATCGCCATCTCCGCATCCTCGTCCTCGTCCACAAAAATCTGGATGGCGCGCATCAGCCCGATAATCTCTTCCTTGGCGACTTTCATGCCGCGCCCGATGAACTGGTGGGGCGCGGCATTGGCGAATGCAGCGTCTATCAGGTCGGCGCGACCGCACAAGATACCCGTGCCCTGAGGTCCACGAACCGCCTTGCCCCCGCTGTATATCACCATGTCCGCGCCCTCAGTGGTGAAGCGGCGCAGGTTCGAGCGTGGCGGCAGCATCGACGCCGCGTCAACGATGACCGGAACGCCGTGGCTGTGCGCTATCTCGCAGACCTCCGGGAACGGAATGGAACGCCGTGTGATGAACGGCTGAGAACAGGTACGCGACTGCCGCCGTGTTCTCGGTGAACGCCGCCTCAAGCTGCCACGGCTGGCAGCGCCTGCCGTCGCCAATCTCCACGAACTTCGCGCCGACAGAGGTGTAGCACTGGTCGTAAGGGAAGCGATGGCTCTTGTGGATGATAATCTCGTTCTTCATGCCGCTGCTATCCGGCAGCCTGTCCATCTTTGCCGGGTCCGAGCCGGCGATGACCGCGGCCGCTTGCAGTACGAGTCCGCCCGCCGCGCCGCTCGATACGAAGCCCGCCTCCGCGCCCGTCGCATCCGCAATTATGCTGCTCGCTGCGCGGTTCAGCTCGTCCAGACTCACCATCATCCCGGACGCCTTGTTCATCGCCTCCAGAATCTCGCGCCTTGTCTTGCTGCCGCCGTAAGCGGTCGTGCTGCCAGACGCCGCGATAATGCGCTTCACGCCAAGCGCGCTGTAAATGCCGTCAGGGTCGCCGCTCCATGCCATATCACACCTCCGGATATGTGTCTCGGTTTCGGGAGTTGGTATCAGTTATAGCCGAATGTGGCGATTATACCACCGAACACTTACAGCATCCTAAGTAGCCTTGTTTGCAATTGCTCGATCTAGAAACCTCTCCTCTTACCCACAGACATTGACAATACTGGAATATGATACAATTCATTGAATAATTGCGATTGCCGAAGCAAATGCAGGAACTTCAGAAACTACCTATTCTGTGGGAGTTCCCCATCGTGTGAAATCAGAGGATGGGCGCATGGCTACGTCTGAGAAGCGCTTATACCTACGAAGAAGCGCGTGACATATTTGCAACCAAAGCCGATTTAGCTGAGATGGAGACTCGCCTTGTGAAGTGGATGGTGGGTATGATGCTAGGTGGCATGGCAACTTCGGCTACCGTTGCCCTAGTCGTTGAGCGCCTTCTGGGAAGCTAGGTATTGTGAATTGTCCTCACCGCTCCGTCCGCACCCACAGCGTCTCTCCGTCACTGATGAACTCAACCGTCCCGCGCTCCGCCGTCTGAAACAGCATGCCATCAGCCACATACTCCCGCAGCCTCTCCACCACATTCGCGTGCGGATGACCGTATAGATTGCCTTCACCCACTGAAATCACCGCCGCGGCAGGACCCACCGCGCTCAGAAAGTCCCGCGTCGAACTGCTATCGCTCCCATGATGCGGCACCTCCAAGACATCGCTGTCCAGTGCCGCGCCGCTCGCCAATAGTGCCCGTTCCGCCTCGGAGAAGATGTCTCCCGTCAGAAGTATGCTGACTTCCCCATACACTAGACGCAGCACCAAGGATGCGTTGTCCGCGTCCGACTCTGTGCCGCCAAGCAGTATGGGCGGCGGTCCCAGCACCTCAATCCGCACGTCGGCATCCAGATTGATAACCTGCCCCGCGCTCGCCTCAATTACCCGCGCCCCTTTTGCCTCCTCCGCATCCACCAATCTCGCCCCCATGCCTCGTATGCGCCGCTGTCGTACTCGATACGCCGCTCCACCACCGCGCCCACATCGTATCGCTCCAGCACCTGCGCCAACCCGCCTATGTGATCGCTGTTCGGATGTGTTGCGGCCACGATGTCGATGTGCCTGTCGTTGAACCGCATGCGCTCGCCCAGCAGCCGGGTCATCAGCAAAGGGTCGGAGCCGCCGTCAACGACCACCTGACGGCCACCCGGAGTTTCGATGAATATCGCATCGCCTTGACCGACATCGAAGAACATCACATGCAGGCGGTCGTCGTTCGTAAGCGCCTGCGACCACGCCAGCGACGCCACAAATGCGGCGGGCACAAGCAACCACATAGCGATACGCCCTGAGCGGGACACACTCGTTCGTGAGGGTTTGGCCCTCGTTCGCGGCGAGCCTGTCGAACCACGCATCCCACCAATGTTCCTAAACATCGCTCGCACTGACGCCGGAAACATTACCCTGACGCCGTATGCCAGCAGAAGTACGCTGTAATAGCCGACGACTGCTGCCCCAGCGATACTGCCAATCTCCACCGAAGCCCCCGGCAGCCCTGCCAAAAGCCTGACCACTCCTGATAGATACGCCCCCGCGCCCCATGCCACCCAGCCGAACGGCATAGCGAACGCAGCGCTCGCCAAGCCGACTAGCGCCGCACCCGCGTTTTCCGACTATGAGAAACGGTAGCACGGGCAGCGTCAGCACGGACACCGGTATTCCCAGCGTGGACACCCGTTCAAAGTGGAACGCGATTAACGGCACTGTCGTTATAGTAGCTGCAAGCGACAGCCCCAGCATATCCGTAATCCCGGCAAGTGGCGCGCGTAGTAGGGATCGCCGCCCGATAAGCCGCTCGATAGGCGGCCTCAGCCCGTCCCCGAACGCATCCGAAAACGCCGCTATGCCTGCTATCGCCGCGAAACTTAGCTGAAACGATATGCTGTACAAGATGGATGGCGACACGGCAACCATCAGCGCGGCAGCGACACCAATTGGCGCAAGCGACCCGCGCTGCCTGCCGAACGCCAGCGAAGCAAGATAGACGCTGCCCATGATACAAGCCCGCGTTGCCGATGGAGACATCCCGACAGCAAGCCATACAGCCAGATGACTAGCAGCGGCGCAATCAGGTGAAGATGATGCTTCCTGCCAAGAAGCGCGGCGCTTGCCGCGAGGCTGATGCCGAGCAGTATGCCCACATGCAGCCCAGATATTGCCAGCAGATGCGCTGTTCCCGTGCGGCGAAACGCCTCATTCAGGTCTTGCGGGATGTTCCGCCGCAGTCCAAGCAGCGTCGCCTGCCCGAGAGCGGCCTGCGGTTCCGGCACAACGGCAGCAATGGACGCAGCAAGCCGCCGCCTGAACCCGAACAGCGAGCGATAGAACGCGCTGCCCTCACCCTCGCGGATCAGCGTAACTCTGCGCGCATCCAGAACCTCAACGATGCCCTGTCGCGCCAGATATGCCGCGTAGTCGAACCCGTCCAGTTCTGGCGGTTCGCTAATGCGCCCTTCAACTCGTAGCTTATCGCCATAGCGGAAGTACGGCGCTTGCCGCTGCTGCGCTATCTCAGATGTGGCGCGCGCCGATACAAGCAACACCCCATCAGCCGGCATCCACTCGCCGCCGCCCGCGCGTATGCGCTCTAAGCCCAGCCGAAAACGCGCAAAGTCGCCCAGAGCCTCCACATCGCTCAGCACAACGCCATCAACCTGTTGCGAACGCGGACTTGCGTACATTGGCATTCGCGCGTCGCCGATCAGCGCCACGCGCAAGACTCCAAGTATGAAGGCGAGCGCGATCAGCGCGGCCAGGGCGACCGCCGCATGCTTGCGAACAACAATGCGCCGAGCAGTGCCGCGAGGGCGAACAGGAACAGCGCGATTAACGGCGCATTGCCGACAAGCTCCGGGGCAAGAAGTGTCCCACCCACGAACGCGACGGCAGCGACAAGTAGTTTCATGGGCTAGGTTCTATTGACATTTGATACACAAAGCGTTTTGGACCCGAAAAGTAGCTTAATTCTGTCATTCCGAACGCAGCGCCCTTACCTGTCATTCCGAACGCAGCGCCTTCACCCCCTGTCATTCTGAACACAGCGCCCCTTACCTGTCATTCTGAACGCAGCGCAGCGGAGTGAAGAATCTTAAATCGTCGCACACACGCCATTCACAGACTTCAGATTTCTCGCTTCGCTCGGAATGACAGGGAACAAAAGGGGAAATGTCCACACACCCTAGGTTCTGTTGACATTTGATACACAAGGCGTTTTGGACCCGAAAAGTAGGTTTGTTCTGTCATTCTGAACGCAGCGCCCCTTACCTGTCATTCCGAACGCAGCGCCTTCACCCCCTGTCATTCTGAACACAGCGCCCCTTACCTGTCATTCTGAACGCAGCGCAGCGGAGTGAAGAATCTTAAATCGTCGCACATACGCCATTCACAGACTTCAGATTTCTCGCTTCGCTCGGAATGACATTGGACAAATGGGAAATGTCAACACAACCTAGAATATATCGCAGTTTCCAACAAGTTGCCGCTTACCCTGCTCACCGAGTCCCATCTGCCCATTATGAAATTGAAAACCTGAACCTCCGCCGACCACACGCTCCTATCCTCGCCTTCCTGTCAATCTTATTGTATGTTCACTCCATCCCTGAACCTATCGAAGGTCACTGACAGACTGACCAACTGAAGAAACTTCTGAAACACCATTGAAACCCAAACATCGGTGTATCATGATTCCACTATGGTCACTTTCAACTGCACCAGACACACCAGACACAGGACGCCCACAGAGGCTGCGGGAAGGAATCCGTTTAAGCGAATAATCGTCTGAGGAAAAATCAGGGCGGCCAGGAGAATCGTCGCAGAGTGTCCCATCATGGAGGGCGACGCGCCCGGCAGCACCCCTCTGGCACAGCTCGAAGCCGCAAGATCTGAGCTGAAGCTCGGCTTCGAGGACGACGCGCGCGCACAACTCTCGGCAGGAACCAAGCAGGGCAGAAAGAAGGCAGCGCCCATCCAACGACCCTTCCCCTGATGGGGGAGGCTGGGATGGGGGTGATGCCCGAGTGACCAGCAATCCCACGTCAACCCCGAGCTGTATCAAGCTCAACAAGAAGAGACGCGTCCGCAGATCCGCGTCGACCGGCGGAGGCGGCACATCAATGGTCAAGTTCGCTCATAGATGTGGTGAAGGCAACGAGCTGATGCCAGAGTCCGAGACAGGATGAGGCAGGCCAAGGTAGCTATTGCACCTTGCTTCGACAACCGCTCAGCCCGACCCTGAGTTCATGATGTACTCACGCGCCCCGCCACCCGACGGCCTGTGCGCACATGCAAGGACCTCGCCGAAGATCACCCGGACGGGTCGAGCGCGCCACACCCTTCCCACCGACGAGCAGCGCGAGCAGTGGGCAGGGAGGCGGAGATGCATGGAGCGGCAGCGGAATCGGCGGCGCTAGAAAGCGGCACACGAAGAGCCCGGCAGACCAAGAGAAGCTCCAGCAGTACCACTCCCCGGAGACAGTTGAGGAAAGGCGCTCGAAAGAGAAGACCGCCGAAAAAAGCGCGAACAAAAGCGAGAACGAACAGGGCGCGAACGAGGGCGCAAGCGAGAAATAGACGCGAGAACGGCAAGACCTGCAAAAACAGCGCACACCGAGAACCGGAGCACAATCCGCAGCCCATAGCAAGCAGGACGAAACCTTCCCCTTGATGGGGGAAGGCTCGGATGGGGGTGAAAAGTTCTGTCCATCATGTCAGTTAAGACCCCTCGTGCAGCCTGTCGAACACACTGTATTTCCGAGTTCGTCACACCACTCTCTTTACACGGTCATTCCGATCACTTCCCCACTGTCATTCGAACGAAGTGAGGAATCTACACTCGTTGCATATCCACAAACACAGTTTTTTCTTTAGCTTCCGATTAGAGCGTTTGACATTTGAAAACACACAGCGTTTTTTTAGACTTGATAATTAGGTTTATTCGTCATTCTGAAACACAG